TCACGGCGAGGCCTCGTTCATTCCTATGAAGCCAAAGTTCGACTTCCCGGATTGACTACATGAATCTTCCGCATCGTTGGGCCCTTGTAGTAAGCACAGTAGCGACTTTTGTGAGCCACTTGTAGGAAAAGTCTTTTTGGGCCCCACGGCATCATGTGACGGACCTGGCAGTTGTGACTCCACTGTTAGGCCACTACAAAAATTGACCTCAAAGCCTGGCACTTCCTTGTGGTCTGGGAACAGTGGCCAAACCGTGGATTCCCAACTTCTAGGTCCATCACGTGATGCCATTGGGCCCAAAAAGACTCCTCCATAGAATTACATAATGAAAGACATGTTTGTAAATTAGAGGATCCATTTCTTTGAACGTCATATCCCCCACCTGAAATGACTTGTTTCACTATCAGGATTTGATTCATTCAGTTCTCTCAAGTGCTATATCGCCGGCAACTGGACTTGTTTGAGTTTTTTGAAGACCTTTCGCTTTTCATCTTCAGTTCAGGACAGTTCTTCAGAACTGACGAAGCTTCTTGGATGAAAGGCAAAAGGTGTTCAAAAAACTCAAACAAGTCCAGTTGCCAGCGATATAGCTTGTAAGATTACCATGACCTGGATGACTGAATTTTCACCAACATCCATTCAGTTCAATACATTTTAAGTCTTGAAGAGCCGAGTAACTAAATGAGTTTATTCCCCATTTAAGTTAGCGGCGGGCTAAACCAGAGGTTGGCTGTTCAGCTGGCAAAAGTCTCAAGTGCACTTGCTCTCTGGGCCCTTCGAGAAAGAAGATTGGGGTAATGTTATACTCTGTAAGTCCAACTTTTTTGGCTTCATGTGCCACTGAGCAACTTTCATAGGAAAGAGCAAGGCCCCAGCTGCAATGCTATATCCATAGACTGTATAAATAATGGAAGTAGCTGCCGTGAAGGTTTGCAGACTCTGTTTTGAAGCCTCAAGTTCAGAAATTCAGCCACCATCTTGGTTTTTTGGAGCCAGAAGTGACCACATTTGGACGAGAGGGTGGAGGGGTGGATCTGACTCTTAAGACTGTGGCAACACCTCACAGACAGCCTGTCACTCAAGCATGTTCTTTAAAGACATTTATAATTTCCATTCGTTTTCTCATCTCATGTTCTGCACACAGAGTACAAGCTGCTGCCCAATTCATTCATACCTATGTCCTTATTAAAGCTGTTAAATAATGTCAGATGAAGCCAGAATTGGCCCTGAATTATTTTGATTTGCATTTTTGTGCAGATATTTTTAGCGCTTGATGTTATTTATTTTGGTGTAAAATGTTGATTTGTTTATGTAATATGTGGCGTGTTGTATTTTTATGGGTGCAGTATGGGTGTTGAGCCCAAGACAAATTTGCCACTTTGTGGGACAATAAAGTCAGTCTTGATCTTGATCTTGGTCTCAGTGCTACTTTCTGCTGTTAGGCAGATTTATTTCTATTTCATGATACTTAATTTTTCTTGTCTACTCCATTTCTGAGAGAAATACTTTTACTTTACTCCACTACATTTATTTGACAGCAATAGTCATTAGTTACTTTTCAGATGATGTCACATGATGGACCACTGGACCAAACTGTATATAAAAATACATAAAATTACCTCTGCATTAACAAGCTACATCTGTAAAATACTGCTCATTCATTATCATTAACAATTATGTCATATTTAATAATAAGTTTGGGGACCTATTTGTTTTCATGAGTACTTTTACTTTTGATAACTAAACACTTCTGCCCTTTTGACTGGATTATGAATGCAGTACTTTTTTTTGTAACAGTACGGGTAAACAAACATCATTACAACATGTATTATTGAAACTGTAACTTATGTAAAAGATCTGAGTAGTTCTTCCACCACAAACCGCCCTCTCAAACATCATGTTTTAATATTTTCTAAAGGTATTGATGCCCTCTGCTGGTTGAACAGCGGTTGTGCACATGAGTTTAATGTTCACTAACAAAGTTCTGCATTATAGCATTACGACTCTATTTAAAAATACATTTTTTATGTCTGTGTTGTGACATTTTTATGATATTTTTTCCAACATACTGTACTATGACGTTTTTATGATATTTTTTGAACAACATACTATACTATGACTTTTTCTGAAATTTTTGACGACATGCTATAATATGACATTTTTATGATATTTTTTAACAACATACTACACTATGACATTTTTATGATATTTTTAACGACATACTATACTATGACGTTTTTATGAAATTTTTAACGACATACCATACTATGACGTTTTTATGAAATTTTTAACGACATTCTATACTATGACATTTTTATGAAATTTTTAACGACATACTATACTATGACATTTTTATGAAATTTTTAACGACATACTATACTATGACATTTTTATGAATTTTTTTCCGACATACTATACTATGATGTTTTTCTGAAATTTTTAACGACATACTATACTATGATGTTTTTCTGAAATTTTTAACGACATACTATACTTGGACGTTTTTATGAAATTTTTAACGACATACCATACTATGACGTTTTTATGAAATTTTTAACGACATACTATACTATGACGTTTTTATGAAATTTTCAACGACATACTATACTATGACATTTTTATGATGTTTTTTCCGACATACTATACTATGACGTTTTTATGAAATTTTTAATGAAACACTATACTATGACGTTTTTATAAATGTTTTAACGACATACTATACCATGATGTTTTTATGGAATTTTTAACGACATACTATACTATGACATTTTTATGAAATTTTTAACAACATACTATACTATGACATTTTTATATTTTTTTCCGACATCCTATACTATGACGTTTTTATGAAATTTTTAACGACATACTATACTATGACGTTTTTATGAATTTTTTTCACGACATACTATACTATGACATTTTTATGAATTTTTTTTATGACATACTATACTATGACATTTTATGATATTTTTAACGACATACTATACTATACTATGATGTTTTTATGAAATTTTTAACGACATACTATACTATGACATTTTTATATTTTTTTCCGACATACTATACTATGACGTTTTTATGAAATTTTTTCCGACATACCATACTATGACGTTTTTCTGAAATTTTCAACGACATACTATACTATGACGTTTTTATGATATTTTTTAACAACATACTATACTATGACATTTTTATGAAATTTTTAACAACATACTACACTATGACATTTTTATGAATTTTTTTCCGACATACTATACTATGACGTTTTTCTGAAATTTTTAACGACATACCATACTATGACGTTTTTATGAAATTTTTAATGACATATTATTCTATGATGTTTTTATGAAATTTTTAAAGACATACTATGTTTTTCGGAAATTTTCAACGACATACTATACTATGACCTTTTTATGACATTTTTTCCAACATACCATACTATGACGTTTTTCTGAAATTTTTAACGACATATTATACTATGACCTTTTTATGATATTTTTTCCGACATACTATACTATGACGTTTTTATGAAATTTTTGACGACATACTATACTATGACATTTTTATGATTTTTTTTCCGACATACTATACTATGGCATTTTTCTGAAATTTTTAATGATATCCTATACTATGACATTTTTATAGTTTTTTTTACGACGTACTATACTATGACATTTTTATGAATTTTTTTCCAACATACTATACTATGATGTTTTTATGACATTTTTAATGACATACTATACTACTGACATTTTAATTATATTTTTTCTGACATACTATACTCTGACATTTTAATGATATTTTTAATGATATCCTATACTATGAAATTTTTATAGTTTTCTTTACGACATACTTTATACTATGACATTTTTATGAATTTTTTTTACGACATACTATACTGTGACATTTTAATATTTTTTACGACACATTATATCGTTTTTATGTTTAATGACATACTATACTTTGATGCTTTTCTAGTTTTTTACTACGTATTATACCATGACCATTTTATTTTTTACGACTTACTATACAATGACTTTTTTTGTGACATTTTTTATGTCATACTAAAACTATGACGTTTTTGTATTTTTTACGGCACAATATACTGTGCCTTCCTCATGAGGTCTTTTATGACATACTATACTATGACTCCTCTATGACATTTTATGACAGTATTGGTGTTTTGATTTCATGTTATATAACATGGTACACTAGGACTGTTTTTTTATTCCATTCTTTATGACATACTACACTATGACGTTATTGTTCCTTTGTTTTATCAAATGATGGAAGTACTTTTTTATGCCATAGTATGTCTTTTCTTTTTTTTTTTTTTTTTTACATTTTTCATGACATGCCATATGCTTACTTTTTAAAATTAAATTCATGACAGTATACTATGCAATTTGTATTACATTTTTTGTGAAATGTACTTTGACTTTTTAAATTACATTTTAAGACATACCCTGGCATTTTTTTAAAATCTTTTTTTTCAAATTACATATTGTGCTATGACTTTTACAGTTCCTTTTTTTTTGACATTTTATACAATTACATTTTTATTAAATGAATATATCATACAATATACTATGACATTTTTCCATTAACACAAAACTGATAGATTTTTAATGACATTTTTAGATCTTCTTCTACATCAAAGTATGGTTACATGAAGTCATTGTATAGTATATCACAAAAAAATCACAATGTAATATGCCATATCATTTTGCTCTCAAAGTCAGCTCATCATGAGCTCAGACAAACAGACCTGTCTTCAGCTTTGTGACGAAGCATTTTCCGGTTGATCCAAGAGTGTTTTTTAAAATTGTTTATTTATCTTAAGAAGTAGGAGATTTTTCAACGCATATAGAAATGTTGATGAATCACTGCAGCTGTATAAGTTGATAGCAGCTTCAACTGCTTGTTCACATGGAGTTTCATGAATAGAAACTCTACCTTTACATGTCAGTGTAACTAAAAAAAGAAAAACCCATACACAGTCAGTATTGCAAACTGTTTATTCGTAGTAAATGAAAAGTGTGCAATTCAGTGAATGGGGAGAAAGAGAGGAGAGGGGTGTCGGGGACGGTCGATGTCTTTGGTCCGTACTCTGGTGGAGGGGATGTCAATGAATTGGTGGGAGACGAGAAAAGGCACTTGAGTTTACAGTTGTCTCAGAAAAGTTGTCTTGAGAAGGACACATGGTCTACTGGAAGAATGAATGACCTAGATGTTTTAACCTCCATTTTGCCTAATATGAATATCACATACAAAATGCCCCATGTGAGCACAAAATTATATAGCTACATATATGTATGTACAGTAAGGAATCAGAAAATAAAGTAGGTGGGAAGAAGACGAAGAAAAGGTGAACTGTTGGATTATCCCCTTTGGAATTCTTTACAGGCCGAGGAAAGAAAAAAAAGGCAGCAACTTTAAAACAGGACGAAATTATTTCTTTGGCGATAACCTAATATTCCTACAGTTTGGAATGTAAAAAAAAAAAAAAGTGGTTTAAGTGAGGCAGACAGAATCTACTCTCTCCGAATCTCGACTGAACAAGTCCAGCACCTCTAACAGTAGAAACATGCTGGAATAACTGTTTCATCATCTGTCCTGCTGCTTTGATCAATTCAAACTGCAGCCCCAAAAACGCCAGTCAGTAAAAATCTCTGACATTACGACATTACCACCTCTGAAAGAATTAAATGAATAGTTTTTATGGAAATACATTTTTTCTCTTTCTTACTCAGAGTTACATGAGAACAGATATCATGTGTCAAGAAACTGCCACCAGCCAATTATTTTAGCCTTAAGACTGGAAACAGGGAACAGCTCACCTGGCTTTGTCCAAAGGTCACACAATCTTCCTACCAGCACTTCTAAAGCTCACAAATTAAGATGTGATATATTTTTCTTTAATATGTACAATATCAAAAGTATAAAAATGACAATTTGCTGTTTTATTGGGGGTTATGTGCCTGACTATTTCTCTGCTTTCAGCAGGTGTCAGGCAACACAAGTACAACTTGCTGCAGACTGTGGGGAGGCGAAGCTCAACTATCCAGTGTTTACAAGTGGGAAAGCTTGCCATTGTCATGTATATTAAACTTGCTTGAACTGTAGTATTTCGTCATGTCCTTCTTTAATTTACAGTGTTGTTATGTAAGAAACTATATGGCAAAAAGAGGATATTCTGGGAGGTTACTGATTGTGGGCAAGAAATAATCTGACACATAAAACCTATTGTAAACAGGAAATTGTCATTTTTGTGCCTGATTTTTTTTTAAATTGAGCAACAAATGAAAATTAAACTTTTAATTACTGAGCTTTAGAAGTGCTGGTGGTGTATTTTCTAACATGAGCGGAAAACAAAGCTGTTTCCTAGCCCAGTTTGGGATGCATTTTTCCCCCCTACTATGGCAAAGACATGACCTGTCTTACTCTCTTCTTCTCTGCCTGTGATTAGCTTACCCTGATATTCTTACAACGACCAATCTCATTTCTCATGTCGTAACCTAACAAACCCAACCAACAATGGCAATGTGTACCGGCTTATCAGAGGCAGTGTAGGTCTGGTCATGCCTTTGCCATAGTATGAAAAGAAAATCAGCATTGAGGACTGTCTGATCGGAGACAGTTCCCTTCTTTGAGATGGGGCGGTGAGGTATACATTTGCCAAAACAAGCAGTTACTCTTCATTGTTGAAGTCTTTGTCCTGTAAAACTAGAAAAAAATGTTTGAAAACACTTCTAATAGAGCAGAAATCTCACCTTTTTTTGCTTGTTCAAGTTTTCTAGCCATAACGGGCTGATTATAGTGCTGATGTTTTTCCCCTCCTAGTGACCACAAGGTGCAACAACAAGCCCCAACAACGTTGGAAAATAGACTTCTTACAAGCGACACAAAAAAGATAAAAGTTTCTTGCTTCATCAGAAGTGTTTTCAAACTGTAAGAAAGGGAATAAGTGTACTTCCAAAAATATCAAACTATTAATTTTAGTTGAAACCTACTGATGACAGCACAAATTAACCAAATACTACAAACAAGTCAACACTCCTCTCTCCACAATATCAACTAATATAATAACTGAAGTAAAGATTTTCTTTTAAATCTCAAATAAGAAGAAAAATCTCCCTATGATCAGAAAACCCACGAGGAAACAAAAAGGGGGGATACAACATAATATAAATTCATTGTTTTTCCAAAAGTCTGCTCAAAGGAAGACGACACGTTATGAAGAAAATGCAGCAATTATGTAACAATCAGTCTTACACTACAGCCTTGCAGCTCCACATACTGTATGTACATAACTACAAGAAGAGATGAGGAATCACCAGGGGGTCCCTGTCCCTTTAAATGAGAGCCCACTGCGAGAAAACGACTCGACAATGGGCTGCGTCGAAACATCAGCGATGAGGTATTCACCAGCTTTTTGTTCACAAGCTGTGGACACTACGATGAGACTTAACCCCAACAACAAACAGCCGTGAAGCGTCTACTTGGCGACTGTAGGAGAAAAAGAAAATCTGTGATATCAATGCAACCCTCCAACGCATTCATCAGTTTGATCAGTTTTACGTTCACAGACGGGACAAAGTGAGAATATAAAAAGGGGAAGAAAAGATCTAATTCTCATACATATATTTGTAAGTCGCACATCCGCTCTACAAGTATCGTCTGTTTAGAAAGCCGTCATGATGCAGACATCCATGTCTCTAGAAAGGCAAGTGTGAAGTCTCTCTGTGACTAAAGGCAAGCACGTCATTAATATGCCATCCATGTGCATATAACAACACAACAACACAAGAAAATCCATCTGAATAAACGTCAAGGAGTAAATATAGAACAGCATGTGGACAGTTTCCTTTGTCGTGAGTTTTAACATGTCATATAACAGTATTCTACAAAAAGATAATGAGCCCTCTCTTTGTTATAAAATAATGGACAGCGAGCCAACAACAGCGCACATGATAACCGTTGGCCAGCGGGAGGGCGATACATCACTGCCTTAGGCAATAGTCAAAAGGAAAAGCTCGACATTTTGGGAAATGCTCTTTGTTGAATGAGAAGACTGACACTACTCTCATGTCTGTGTGGTAAATATGAAGCTACAGCCAGCAGCCGATTAGCTTAGCATAGCATGAAGACTGGAAACAAGGGGAGCAGCTAGTTTTGCTCAGAGTCACAAATTAACCTGCATGTTTTTGGACTGTGGGAGGAAGCGGGAGGACTGGGAGAACATGCAAACTCCACACAGAAGAACTTCCCCACCACAGGGTTTGAACCCCCCACCCTGGGTTTGAACCAGGAACCCTCTTACTGTGTGCTAACCACTGCACAAACAAGACAGAAAGTGTTAATTAGTGAACTTTGGTGAGGCTGATTTTGTGACATTACAACTGGAATCAAAGCTGTTTCCAAATCCAGTCTTTGTGCTAAGCTAACTGGCTGTTGGTTAGGGATGGGAATTGAGAAGTCTGAGCCACTGGAATCATATGCCTCTGGGTGCATCAATTCCTTTCATCAAAGCCTGCATATTTTTCTGACAGTTGTGCAAAACAATGATGTCAACTCATGCGCCTACGCTGCTGGAAACAAGAAGGAGTCATAGCGGAAAGGAAGAGCGGTCCAAAGCGTGACTTCATTTCACAAAGAAAAATGACGACGGTGCTGCTTGTAATGTCAAAAAACTATAATTTCAAGTAACTGGAAAAAACAGCAACATGCTGAAACGTCTTTCTACGCAACATGGGTAAATCCAGGAATGCCATGTATTTGACACTCTCCACACGAGTGTCACTACTTCCCAACTGAGCAGCACGTCTGATACAGAGGGTAAATATCCTGTTATAATAACAGCGGATGCAGGCAAGCTTAGCAAATTTTTTCTTTGGCTATGAAGCCTATATGAGCAAACATTCTTTCATTTCATCCACTGTAGATGATGATGACAGAGAGACTGCTCTCAGGCTACAGCCAGTTTGACTCGTCCATCAGCTCCCCCTTTCATGCTTACTGCACAGGGAAGGAAAATGAGCTAAGAAAGGGTGATCGAGTGTCACCGGTACATTGACGCTGAAAATCTGTCGGCCTACTTTTTTCCCCCTCACGTAGTGCTCATCAGGAATCAATAATTGGACCTATAAGCAGAATTGAGGATAGTATTGGTATGAATGAAATCTCATTAATTCCCATCCCGACTGCTGTTGACAGATTTAATTTAGCACACAGACACGAGCCTGGCATCCTTCATCTTATCCAACTCTCTGCAAGTGGAAATGAGCCAATCCCCACATCGAACTCTTCCTTTAAGAGGGCAACTTCTGTGTTCACAGTTACTCTAAAACACATCCTAGTCCTAGTGTTAACATGTTCCCTATGGTTTATAGCAGCCATATGAAAACCTCTGGATTACAGTTTGATATGTTTTTACCTTCATGTAAAGATTAACGATAGTCTGTAGTGTTGATTGCAAGTCTACTCTCCTGATGACAAGAATCTCTGTTACTGCTAGAACTACTTTTGCACTTTCACTACGCTTTCCATGGTGAAGGCATTGAAATGGTTCTGGGAGACGAGAACTAAAAAAACAAAAAAACATCTGAGGTGCACATCAGAGAGCTGACATAAGCCACAGCAAAAATAGAAATAGTACTAAGAGTTCAACTTCAATAGTGCACAAGTTGTTGCAGGAAATCATGTCGGTCTCTTGCAGACAGCTTAACTGCAAAAAATAATAGCAGGGACTGAGGAAAGCATAGCAATGAGATCTCTCGAAGGGGGCCTAAAGATAGAAGCTGTTACCTTAACAGGATGAGAGAAATGGAAAAGGAAGAGCGATTACAAAACAGTGAGAGCTTTTCAAGTTTGAAGGATGAATGGGTTGATGTGGACAGGTGGCACTACAGCTCAACTGACGGAAATATGTAAACTTGTATTCTATTCTTCATTGAGAGGAGTTAGTAGAGGGGAGGATGCGGAGGGGATAGGGAGGCTATGGGGGAGGGGAGTGCGAGGGTTAGGAGATGGGTTTTGATTGAGCACGGGATTTCCAATGTCAAGGGCAGTGCGTCCGAGGAAGCCTTTGGGGCAGCCCGTTATGAGAGGGTCGGTCTTGGTTGTAGGAGGACGTGGAGGAATGGTGGGGACCTCTCGAGCTGTGCGAGTGCTGTGAAGGACCAGAGGAGCCGCCGTCACTCTGGTAGCGGTGGTTAGCACGACCGGCGTTCCTGTCGTGGTAGGAACCGCCGTTATACCTCTGACCCGAGTGATACCCTTGTCCCTGGAAAGTGCGCCTGTTACCTTGGAAAATCTGAGAGGAGAATTAAAAGTCAGTGAATTATTTACACTGCTGAATTTAACATCTTTATGGTCTGAATGTTTCACCAGCTGACCTGTTTGTTTGGTGGAGGGCGGTTTTCACTGGGGGCGCTTTGGGTCTGGGGGGGAGGAGGAGTTTCCAGCAGGCTCGGGCTGGTGACAGAGGAGGATGTGGAGCTACAGCGGGACCGATTTGAATAGCCTGTACGTGGATGGTAAACTGGAAAAGAAACAACAAGGTAAACACCAACAGTACAACCTAGGACTGTCTCATGAACCACGGTCATTAAATTATCTGGCTAACTGCGCTGGGTAAAACCCAGAAAAGCTCTTTTTTAACCTGGTCTATATTTGGGATTTGAAGGGGTTCTGGGTTTTAAGGCCCAGATTTCACTGACAACTTTGAGAAATGTGGTGAGATCTTTGATCGTCAGTCAGAAACTGTTGTCTTAGATCATTCTGCCAATTTAGAGCCTGTATGAGAGGAGAGTAAAGGTGTATTCACACCAAATGCAAAGCAAATTTTGCCTGCAGCATGATTCCATAAAAAGTTACAGCAAAGATGCGGAGTGATGCAAATATGCATGCATGAGTTGAAATGTTTCCTGTATAAACAAATTTCTGCGACGCTGCGTCAGAAAGCCTATCAAGGTTGCGATCTGGTTGAGATTCTCCTGACATTACCGAAGAATCAGAAATAGGACAAGCTTATTTTTGCCGTCTGTGGGCACCTGGAGCTCAACGACTCAACATCAGCACTGTACAGAGACGAACAAAAAAGAAGAGAGCTTGGAGGTTTGTTGAGGGAAGACGTTGGATTACATGGTAAATTCTGAAATTATATATTTGTGACCCGAGTAAGCTGTTTTATTGAGTTGCCTCTTAGCAAAATGCTGAGTTATTTAAGCTGGGTTTTTATCACAAAAGGATGAAAAGGCAAAGATCGAAGTGGGGATGCGTTGCCGTGGAGAATATGAAAAATAACAGAGTATTCCCGTCTTGGTTCACTTTGCTTCAGAGCGCAGAGCGTCCATGTTCATATCACTTTAATCTGCTATCAATTATACTTTACTACGAACCAAGTTAGCACTGACGTTAGTATTAGCTGCCTTCCCCAGTGAAATATCACAACTTATAGCATAGCTATTGAGGGCAAACATTTGCGAGTATTGTAACGCTCCAGGGCCATACTTGATCGAGTAATGCAAGGTGAAAATTTGCTTTGTGAACACACCCTCAAGGTCTAGTGTGTAGGATTTAGTAGCATCTGAGGTTGCAGACTGTTACCACCTGAAACGTCTCCCATGTGCCAAGCATGTCGGAGAACTACGGTGGCTGATATGAAAACACCATTGGCCCTATATAGAGCCAGTGTTTGATTTAGGCCATTCTGGGCTACTGTAGAAACAACATGGCAGACTCCGTGGAAGAGGACCTGCTCCCTATGTAGATATAAACAGCTCATTTGAAGGTAATGAACACAACGATACTTATTTTTAGGTACCACACTTAACATATTCCATTCCTAAATCCTACACACTGGACCTTTAATAAAGGCTTGTGTGTCATGGGATGAACTACAATATTTGTTCTATGAATAAAGAGGGACTGGAGCACAAAGATTGATGAGCAGCCTTTAATAGCGGAATCAGAACTTTTTGCACTATAAAGGCTGCAAATTAATCAGTGTGCTCCAGTCCCATTTTTTCCCCTGTGAAGTTTGCTGTCCTCGATATGAGAAGCACCTGACGGAGCTGCATGCTGCTGGAAGAGAAGCTTTTTCCAAGTTATCACACACAGTCTTTAATTAGCCAAGCTGACCAGAGAACTTAATAATCGTTCTGTATGAGACAGATCTCTGCTTTAGTTCAGCAAAGTTGGGTGAATTCTGACTACATGAATAAATGAGTAGGTACTCTCCAGTAACAATATTGATTACCTGTCTGTTTTCAAAACCACACAATGCCAATGTGTTACTTTAGGACACGTTTCAATTTGTAAAATATGCAACCAGAGGGAGATCAATGAATCTGAAACACTGCTGAGAATATTAAAAATATTCCTGTTGACAATATCTAGTGTTGTGCCAATGCTTGACACATTATTAAATGAATTTAGTTACCAAAAATAAACACTAAACACTTAGGGTGCTAACAAAAAGTTTCTAAAGGAAAAAATGCTCCTTAGCTTTGTCCACTTCCTCTCTAAGTCATTTAAATTGGCACACACTGTGGCCTTATTTTGACATGTTATAATAACTAGCTCATTAGCCACTGTGAGTGTATTTCCAGTCTGCTGACAAACTGCTGTAACTGTGGACATGACCTTTTAAAACGCTGAAACTGAGCAGCAGAAATGCTTGCTGTGGCATTTTGTGATTTGTGGGGAGGGTGTTCTGTATCATTTAGGATTATTAAGATGTGGAGGGGAAATTATTTTCAGAAATTTTCACTCTGAACACAAATAAAAAGGAAGATTAAACAAATGATAAGGTACCTGATCCAAAGCCTGTGATGCTCGTCTTCAGCGGCTCAAGATCAAATGTAAATCTTACAGCTTTTCCGAGGTCCTCGTCATATTTACGCTCGCTCACAAAGTGCTGCAGGAAAAACAAAGACAACCGATAATAATCATCAGCAATCCAGCAGCTATGTTTTCTTTCAATTATTTCTGCTTGTGGTTTGTATTGATTAAGTCAACAACATCACTACAAATGAGCTTTTTAATTTGCTTTTTAATTGTGACTCAACAATTATTTAGTCGGCCATTGACTCAAACACTGTGACAAAGAGACAGACGAGGCCAAAGCGGAGCAGCAGTATCGTTGAAATACCTTTATGTCTGCACGCAGTTCAGTCAACTGCTCCTCAGACATGGACGCCGACTGGTCTGTCAGCCGTCTGAGCTCCTCCGCTCTCTTCTGCCGGGCGTCCAGATTCATCACTGAAACACAACAAATATGAAGATAAATATGAACAAAGGTGACACTGTCTTATGAAAACAGAAAGAAGACCTTTCATCTTTCTTGTGCATGGTGTCTCTGTTTCAGAGTGCAATAAAAGTTCTGATAGTTCGTGTCCCATGAAGAGTTAACTCTCTATGTAATGAATTATCTTCATGAATACGTCTTCCAGGGTTCCTGGATTGGTTAAGTTTTCTGACAACTGCATCAATGCATACATGTTCAGACAAGCTGATTATCTGACTACTTGTGATGGTATGTGAATATGTGACTCAAAGATACTGCCACATATTTTTCCAAACTAATCTGGTTGTGTATGTCCAGATTTGGTTCAGTTATAGGGCACTTGTTGGGGCAGAACTGTTCTGCGTAGGAGTGTTTGTTCAGTCACACGCCAGCATCAAGCTCGCTGTAGCCCGCACTCTCTCACACAGTGGTAAACATTTTGGCTGCCTGCTTCAAGTGCCATATAAAACACTCTTTGTATGATCATTTTAATTTCAGATATTCGGAATTTTACATTTTTAAAAACAGAATAGGGGCAATAGTCTGGAAACATACATGTTTTATACCCTTGTAAATACTTATGTAGCAATTACTAAAATTGCTAAAAATCAAATTTGATATTTTTCCATACTGCGTAGGAACACTGGTCTTCTACATGTCAACCAACAATAACAATTATTTTCATTACTGATTAATCTGCCAGCGATTTCCTTGATAAACTGTTCTGTCTATAAAATATAAGATAATGTCTTTCAGTTTCCTAAACCCTGAGGAGGTCATTTGTCCAGTCAATCTAAACCTGAAGATTTTCTCTTTACTGTCACATACAAGAAAATCAGCAAACTGCTGGAATTAGAGAATATTTGGTATTATGACAGAAAAATAACTTCAGTCATGCAAACAAAGAGTAAGAAGATAGACTGATTATCAAAAAAGCTGCAGATTATTATTATATAATTATTAGAATTATATAAAAGCTTTCTGTCTGTTTCTGTGCTGCTGAAACTTCCTCCAATCTCAGTAAGTTTCATTTTCCCCGTCAACACTCAGCTGTATTCTTTCAACATGACAGGTACAAAGTGCGGCTGACTCATCATCTAAAAGGTAAACAAAGGCAGAAGTTAAAGCCATTTTCACATCATGATACCGTGTACACGGCCATCAAATTTTAGGATCACCTGACAAAATCAAAAGCTTGATTGGGTTAGGCCTGACTGATCCATATAATTTAATGGTCTTTCATGCTTTTAGGCTGTTTAAAGTCCTCCTTCCAGAAAGATGATATTTTGTATGAAGAGTCTGTTTTGTACAAGGAGAACAAAATACTGTACAATAGTTCAACCAGACTGAAAACTGAGGGGGCAGACAGAGACAAAGATCCCTCTGAGCAAAAGTTCAATAAGAACAGAAGAAATCACCAGTGGCTGGTTAAAGAAACTGGAAGCTTAGCATCAAAATTTGGCAGATGTAAGTATGAACAGAATCCTGTTTCAGAATCAAGTGCACAATAAAGCCCATAACAAGATGGAATTATTAGGCAACATATAGCTTTGGCAAAACTAATCTTCAGAGGGTTAGCACTGTTGGAGCATCAGCTGAACACACTATGGCTTAATCACAGTTTAAACCTATTCAATCTAACCACTGAGTAGACCGCACAGGGCCCAAAGAAAAACAGCTTCCCGAAATATTTAGAGCCACATTAAAAGCCACGTAGGTTCAACAATGATTGAGGGTCACCAACGCTTTTCTTGACTGGCAAACAAGAATGTAATTAAACACTGTGGGGACATCAACTACATTCTTCTTTTGGGCGAAAAACTAAATGTCAAAAATACATTTGGTGTCTGAATTATACAGTGGGTTTTTTTTTTAAATCTAAAAATGACCAAAGTCATTTCTCCTGTCCTCTGTCCTGCTCCCTCTCTCTCTCCCTGTGATGTGATTCACTGCATGCAGGTAACATTAGTGCAGGTAGAGAGAGGAGGGGCTGTTTGTGTCAGCCAGCAGTTTGGTTTAAAATAATTTGCCCAATTTTAATATAAGTGGCAAACTAAGCTTAACAGTTAGCCTACACACAGACAGCTGACATGTTAGCTCATCTGTAACAATTCGCTATTAGCTGAACTAGCGTGCTGTCCTTGTGTAAAACAGAGTTTGCAGCAGTGGATGAAAGAATGGACAGAGCAGAATGAGATATTGTTGTTTAAATATTGTGCACTGATAAAGAATTGGCTTTGTGTAGCTGCCGTCAACTTGCATAATTCTCAAATTATCTTTAATTTTAATTATCTTATTCACTATCTTCACTCCGTGTCATGTGGGTGTGTGTGTGGTTGTGTGCAGGGCGTAAAATTAACACCCGCCAGTGACGGGTAAAAAAATGAGTTTGGCGTGTAAAACAAAAACACACACCCTCCAGTGGCCAATGGAAAATTTTGAATTGCATGTCTGGTTTTTTATGTGCTTCGATCATTTCTGCCACCTGTGTCAGACTATTTTGACCCTCACGACTTACTGTACGTGTGCCGGGAACGCATGACGCCAGCTACCGGAAATTGTTTCCCGGGCATTCTATGGTAACTTCTGAGCAAGATGTGGCGACACATTCCTGGCGTGAAGCCACCGCCAGAAAAGAGGAAAAACGAAGACGAACATGTTGGACTTGGACAAGAAGAACAGACAGACAGATGTCCCACATCGTTTTATTTAAAAATAGAAACTAGACGAGGCTGGCCAGCCGCGGTCATGGCTGACCTACGGCCCCCACACCAACACGATGAGCTGCAGTCTTTGCCGCAAGCACGCCAAAGAAACACAGAGGACAGGGTTGGATTTTCCTAAAGTTGGATTTTCATACTAAAAACGTATGGTAATTATTTTTAGTCAAACAAGGCATAGGCCCGTTTCCACTGAAGAAGTTCCTGGTACTATTTGGGGGGCAGGAACTACTACAGGAACGTCCTCTCGCTCGGCCCTCTCAACCGCCGTGTCTCCACTGAGAGAGCAGAGTAGGAGGAAGGTTCCTGTAAAGTAACGGGCTCTGGATGTGACGTAATCGTTGTACGACCATTTTGGCCGGGGGACGTAGGGACGCCATTAGCCGATAGCGGTGTCTGTAATAACTCACTAAATGGCCCGTGAAGAAAATATTTTTTCCAGCGGATGTCTTAGTTACAACATGATTGAGCTAAATGGAGTAGTTTCATGTTGTATCCGACGGGAGGCTTTTAACAGATGATGTCCTGATGTTAGCTTTGATGCTGCTGTTAGCTGATGCTTTCTAGACATCGTGATTTCCCATAACTGAATAAATACCACACATAAACACAAAACTGCTTTGCTAGCTCAATCATGTTGTAACTAAGATATCCGCTGGAAAGAATATTTTTTTCACGGGCCATTTAATGAGTTTTTTTTACATGGAGGCGAAAGCTATATGAACGAGCTAACCCTCATCTGCTGAGTTTTAAAAATGCCGGCTATTGTGTTGCTTTCTGTTGACATCACATCCCTCCTTGAGTATATCCAATCAGCACCAAGTAATCCCCAAGCCCCAGCCGGGAGTATTTCGGGGCCGTTCTGAGTACCTACCCCGAGGCAGGGACTTGTTTAGCCCCCGTAAAAGTTCCAGAATTCTGTCCTTAGGGGGTGGTTCGGCGGTGGAGACACGCACCAACGGCCCCGGCCCCGTAAAATTACCCCGAAGTTCCTGCGGTGGAAACGGACCTCATGATTTTTTTTCTTTTGGCTGGTGAAAAATATGTTTGGCCAGTAAATTTTTGGAGGTCACTAGCCAATGGCAGATGAGGTAACAAGTTAATTTTACGCCCTGGTTGTGTGTTTATGCCCTGGCACAGAGCGCAGGTGAGAGGCTGCAGGGTGATAATGAATTAAACCAAAATGTTAAAAAATACCAATAAAAGTACCAATACCGTCAGAGCTTATCAATACTACGGTCTTTGAAATTTTAGGGGGCTTAATTAATACCAGGTTTCATTACCCATCCCTTGTGATTTCTGTGTTGAGATTAATTGTCCCTCGGAGTGGACAGGAAAAAAACACATAATTAAATATCCTACTCAAAATCTTCTTTTTGCCAATTATTTTTAAGTGCACTCAGAGTAGAGATCCACCATCACAATATTTTTGTGTGTCTGAAACATAATTGGGCTCTCACAGGCTTAACTACACTGAGCACATCCTGTTTTAGTTTGTATTATTTAATGTTTGCCAGTTGTTTGTCAGATCTGTTTATCAGTCACATCTCTTCCTGCAGGAGATCAAAAAGTTACAAAGGGAAACCATCAGTTAAACAGAAGTCTAATACAGGAAGGAGATTAGCAGAAGGTAAGTTTTGAGAAAACCTGGCTTTTGTCATGTTGAAGAAATGCTCGAGTTTCTTTTGCTTTCCTCTCAATTCCCCAATCACCTTGCACAAAGACAGCATTGAGTCTCCCTTGACACCTGACACTATTCACTTTTTCCAGGCCTGGAACACACAACACTCTACACTGAGAGGACAGAATAACAGAGAATGGCCTACTTGTACAAATATGCAGTCTTGCTCTGTCATGTTACATACACACACACACGGTGGTATGCTCTAGGTATATCTGGACCCTGAGGGCGCCACTGCAGTTTTGAAGAAACTGGGACACAACAACCTCTTTTGCTACCTCTCCGGAAGTGATTTAGGTCAGATTCTCCAGGCCCTTGAGTCAGGTGATCATTATATGTGAAGAATACCAACAGCTCCCGGGTGGTAAGTGACAAGCAGGTTTTTGGTAAAAAAAAAAATTTAAAAAAAATACAGTACTTACTGGACTCTGCTTTCACTTTGTCCATTTCTCCCAGTAGAGTCACTTCTCTGTCCATTAAACTGTAAAAAAAAAAAGAGGAGTAGGAGGAGGAGGGGTCATTTGTCTTTACTCACTTCGAGATAAGAAGAAATATCGCGGGCGCTGACTTTGCACTGAGATTACGATGCAATTCCAATAACACTAAACAAAGATGCAGCTCCACACTGGGATCAGGTAAACAGCTGCGTTGCTGAATGACAATGCAAAACAGCAAGTGCAGTATAAGTCAGTAGTTAAGCATTAATACATAACAGCAGGTCCTATACTGTGTAATACTAGCAGTTAAACACACTGCAGCTCTCCCTCGTGCTGTAGATTAATACAGGGGCTATTTTCAAAAGATAAATCATGACCATGAGTGTGTTATTGTTATTATACCACAGTTTAATTTCTCAGCAGCTACTAAGACACAAATGTGAAAGGTAAAATATTGCTTGTTTTACGAGTGGGCTCATTTTATTTTGTGGTAGCTTTTAAGCCCCCCTCCAACATATGCCATTTTTATGATATTTCATATTTTTTCGAGTCATTTCCTGACAATGTTGATTAGCCACGCTGTTGGCTAAATATTATTTGACAAAAATCTTAATTATGTGCTCAAATAGGGCTGTCCCAAACAGCGTTTTATTGGGCTTCAAATTTTAAGCTATAATTACCCCTGAATACTTGAAGCTTCGACGGGAAGCATCAGCACCTGGGGGTACTAATCACATATATTCATACAGAATAATCAACCGTTAATTAGAACGCTCTCTGATAGAGGCAGCTGTGGACTAACACCCAGGGAGAGTCTGAGTGAGATGGAGGCAACTACTTGGAGGATTAAATTAGCATTAAATGGAGACATGTCAGAGTGAGGGGGCTGCCTATGAACAGGCGCCCTGGGCAGTTGGAAGTTCGGTGCCTTGTTTAAGGGCACCTCAGCAGTGCCTAGGAGGTGAATTGGCACCTCTCCAGCTACCAGTCCACACTCCACATTAGGTCCAAAAGGGACTTGGACCGATGAGCCTCCAGTTCCCAAGCCAAGTCCCTATGGACTGAGCTACTGCCACCTCCAACTTAAAACAATACTAGTGTGGGCAAATTTGTTGCTGACCAATTGGTTTTTATGTAGTTAGCAGGTATTAGCTCTTAAAGCTCACTTGGCTTGTTTCCTATATTACGTGAATGTGGCTGTCATCCTGAACGTCTGTTCAATTCTCAAACTCTATATGTAGAAGAGGAAGGAATAGTCAGATGTTTGTACTGAACAGCCAAATCCAATCCTCAACTGACATAAACAGTGGACCTCTGCAACATGTCTATCCTCAGTGCAGCGGCAGCCAAACGGCGCCTTGCCTCTAAAACAACTGGCAGCTGCAGCAGGAAGAGACAGTAAAGAAGAGGGCGAGTCGAAGTGTTGTCTTGTCTGATAAACAGTAAAATCATCATCTTAAGTGCCATATCACTGTTAACCAAGCTACTGTAGCTGCAATCTTGTTACCATGGTAATGGATTATGTCCAACTTCTTACCACACCTCCAGTCTCTGTTTGAGAAACAAAGTTAAACAGGAAGTAACACTGCCTGGGGGGATCTTTAAGGCCTCAGGATACTTAAAACAAAGTGTTTGTTGGATCATCTACAACCACCTTTTTGGACAGCAAAAAAGGATTTGACTCTATTTGACATTTTTATAATTTTCCAAAAAGACAGTCTGAGAGTCGCACCTCGTTATGCAGCCATTGGCCAGGTGTGCAGAGTTGAAACGGAAAGCAGGTTTTGACCCTCTCCCTCAGGCTGTTTTTTTCCCCTCACTCTTTACACAAGGACATCTGTCCCTTCTTATGTACAAACAAGTGTAACACCACAAATCCCTTCAAGGAAGAGACTGTCTGAAAATGCGTGCCATTATCCTAATTCTTAAGACTTCACAGCAGTGTAATGCAGTCAGAAGGAGGCTATGACATAGTACTGGATACTGGTGTCCCAAGATGGCACCCATTTTATCCCAATAAAGACTGGTTACTCTGCACCAAAGATTTTTTTTTAGGTTTCTTCAGATGACTATGTTTTTTGGCCTATCAAAATTTTAAATTTAATGGATCAAATTCTGATAATACAAAAGGTAATTTCGAGGTGTTTGAGTCTCAGAAAAATAGAAAAAACTTCTTCTCCATTTTGCAATGTTTATGCATTGAGGTTAAAAAAGCATTTCTGGAAAAGTGTGTCTAACATAATCCTTCTACTACCTGAGGCCACCACACCAAAAATCACCTCACAGCTCAGTGTTGTTCTTCAGGGCTTGGTAAACACTTTGGACCGTTGGACGACACAGTATTTGACCTAGTTCAAGCATGCCAAGCCCTTAACAGTCATGATCTCTCTCTGATGCCTCTGGAAAGTGGACATCATACAGGTAACTAGACTGTATGTTTGACAGCTGGTAGGTGTAGCTGGCATTAATTTGGCTACACCCATGACAAACAGATCATTCATTAAATATTATCTGTGGCTGACTTCCGATTACTCAGATGCTCAAGGCTGATAATGATATGATCTATTTTTTCCCTGAAGAAATTCCAATGATAGTTTGTGTATCTTGGCAGGTGGCTGTCTGTAGGTTACAGTTTTCAGAGCTGAAGAGTTCTACCATCCTCACACAGCACATTTAAATCATTGTTTTCCTTCGTCTGCCTTTCTAAAAAGCTAAAACGTGACACACAGGAGTTTTCTGAGTATCTACTTCTGTACCGAGTGGTTAAAAAATGAGCACCTTGCAATTTACTGAAGATAAAGAAAAGATTCTTTTATCAGTATTCAACAACAATGTGAGTCTCAGCCACAGAAGTGTTGTCAGAGCCTCGCGGGAGCTAAAGGTGTTTAACACTTACAGAACAATCAGTATTTTATCTCTGTTAAAGTGATACAGTGCTCAACTGTTGCAAGCCAGCACAGTCGTGGAGGGGAGCTCAGAGTGGAGCTAAGTGGAGATCCCGTTCAGCTTATCGACAGGAAACCACAGTGTCATGTTTCAGCTTTTAGGGAGAGATCAATGACAGATCTCTCTGTGAGAAATAAAACACAGACTAATAATACTATAGTTAATTAAATATATGTATTTGGAGAATGCATACAGTGCAGACACTCCCCTCGAGCTTGTGTTTTTCTAAATCAGATGCAAGAAGTTAAAAGGATAGTTTGGATCTTCTGAAGAGGGGTTGCATGAGGTACTTTTCAATAGTCAGTGTATTACGCAGAGGACGTCAGTTGGCACAACCTCAGTTTGGAGAAGCAGGCAGGAGTACACAGACACGGTAGTTAAGCAATGTACTGCTGTAGACCAGGGCGGCAACAAGAATATTTTCACTGCTTTACCTTGCGATGTTAAATTACTGTTCTTCTCAATAGAATCTGGCTTTGAAAAGAGCAATATAACAGCTTCAGTTGCCCGTCGGAAATAACTGTCTGATGTCAAGGTAAAGCAGTGAAAATATTCTAAATATAGCAAACACTTATTTCTATTTTTAGTGGGACTTTTTTGAAGCGGCTAAAATGTGTTTTGCTTCTAACCCAGTCCACAGCAGTACATTGCTTAGCTTGCATGTCAGTACTCCTGCCTGCTTCTCCAAACTGGAGGTGTGCTGACTGACGTGCTGTGTGTAATGCACCGACTACGGAGAAATACCTCATACAACCCCACTTCAAAAGATCTGAACTATCCCTTAAAGGTTTGGAGTCAAATATGCCAATCTATGATCTTCTACAATTAATTAGCTGGAGAGTGACTGAACTCCTGCTGGAGTCGTCAGCAATTCTGAAATTCTCACAAGACCCATAAATAAAGTGATCTCATCCTGCTGACTTATCAGGGCCTGCATTGATTATTACTGCTAAGAGGAAAACCTGGATTTTCTCTTGCAGATGTGAATGGAGCAACCCTGTCCCTTGAACTGTGCTTGTTTATGAGTATTAGTAATCTATACAGCAAGCGACTACTTAAACTAATAAAATGACTCACAAAATTATTCCAGTATAGCTTTAGTTTGAAGAACTGCGACACTCTAGTTAGTCTAAATATTTGACTTGTCACATCAGAGGCTCTGTTAAAGCTACCAGAGGTTCACCATATAGGACAGTCTGTCTCCTATTATGCAAATCTCTGTCCCAGTGTCATCAAGCAGGACAAAGGTAAGACAAATGCCCTTTGACACACTGATGGTACTGGAAAACCTGTACACACCCACAGCGCTCTAGTAAACAAGAAATATGACCTAAAGAAAAAATATCATGAAACACAAATATCCCTTTTCGACCAAATAGCTCCTGGAACTTAAGACCTGCAGGGACTAAACTCAGGAACCGGATGTCACTTTCGAACATTACTGTTTGCGTTTCCTGTAATCAAAGCCCTGCAAACCCAGCCCCTTAAGTTCCTGAACCAGTACTACCACTGGGGTATGAACATTTTTTTAGCATCTTGAAGTATGACACGGGAACTTCATTCAGACTCTGACTTCCTCAAAAGGTTATTGTGGTGGCAACACCCTACAAGCATTCTGTTACACCTCCCTTTTCAACATGCTCAGATATTTAAGTCATCTTATGATTCAGCTGTAGCCAAGACCAGAGGCAAACTTTAAAAAGAAAGTGTTCTCACCAGCTTTGGAGCTCAGCAAATGTCTGCTTCATCCTCTTGATTGAGGAGTCCATCTCCTCCTTGACCACCATCCTGTAGCGAGTCAGCGAGGCGGTGCATCTCTGCAGGTCCTTCACAGAGCGGTCAATGTTGGAAGCTGATGGGCAGACATTAAACTTGACTTAGGCACATGTTGAAGAAGAAGGTCTACCACGGGATGGGCCGGTGTAAAAATGTTCAAACTGGTTTGACATTAAGCCACTGGACCGGACAGGTATACTGGATGTTCTTAGGTGTTGCATTTGACTCAGCAGCTAGTTCAGGGTGCAACATAATGACACTGTGTCCTAACTGCAAATGAGTATTGGACTATTGTGGTGCATCATGTAACATCGGCGCTCTCTGTCACACTGAATCTGTTAAATATGCACCTCTATAAAAACATGTAATGTTACTTAAAATAGTTTTTTTATTGTTATATTTACTGGAAAGTAGGCCGTTATAGGTAACTCCTCATTTCAGCTTCTTGAGTCAGCTGTTCCTTGTCCATCGTGGTGCTTTTAAAGCGAGCAACAGGAATAAATAGAAACAGGGCATCCGACAAAAGCTTTTGTCAGCTTCAAATCCAAAATGTTGCCATATTGCCGCAGGATTCGTTTTTTGAGAGACTAACTCTGCCTTGTCTCCTCTCGTCATCCCCCAAAACACATGAACTTTCTAGTAAACAAACGCAACGTGTGCCGTTTGTAGCCTCTCCCATGTGATCACCTTCACGTTGCCTGTGCTCAGCTCACAGCCTGTCAGACACTGGTGGCCCTGTTAATTCGTTTATGATATAATATGTATATCACATCGTCACACTGCTTGTTACTAACGCAATACAACAAGTTTGATTCAGCGCCATGTTACTTCGGCACAGGTTGCTGATGTAGGCTGCTTTTTAATTTGCCAGAATGTGTGATATGTTGATTTGCTTGAAATCAAACTGGTTTGTGTGGACCGGCAAAACCAGAAATTGACCCAACCCTAAGTGCTACCATATTTTGTCTCAAATTAAGTTTTACCTGTGCCTTTGCGACAGATCATGCTTCATTATTAATCAGTGTATTCTAATGAAACTGCTGAACAAGATAATTTGGGTTACAAGAGGTACAAAGTGTCTTACCCATCTTCTTGGCTCCTGACGATCCTTGCTCGTCAGTGGTGGGTGGTAATGAGGTGGAAGTGGGTGGATGTGAATTTGAGCCCGGCCTGTGTCGGTTCTTGTTGCCTCTGGGACCCTGGTGATTCCTCCCTCCTTGTTGTAGGGGAGGACTTGGAGCGCTACCTTGACTTTCTGCTTCTGCACCTGCGAGAAGACAGATGACTTTGAAACAAATAAAGTAAGTAGTTTCCAAACTAACTTTCCCCCAAAAACTGCTTAAAATAGAGATGAGCCAAATTAGTCCACAAGTTGGTCAGCAGCAGAGTATTAGGACATTTCTCTAAAGATTTTCCAAGAGCAAAATAAGTCATCAAAAATGTTTTCTGACAATTAAAAAAAGAGAAAATGGTGAGATTTGATATGATGCCTAAAAATATATTTGACAACAGATTCTGAATGTATGCAGTTACACAGGTCTCACTGAAAAACATTTGATTCTTATTATAATTGACACCCCCTCAAACTGCTAGATGAGGCCATCTGTTCTGCTGTTTGTGGGCAAGTTTCATTCATTAAAAATGTTACCTAAGAGTGAAAGCACTAATTTCAACAGATGAGACCTTCAAGTCCTGCTGTTGGAAATCAGCACATGGAAACGTAACAGATGCAGTACTGTCATTATTCATATTAGGAGACCCAAAACAATTAGAAAATACTACTACAGCTGTCAATGATGTGTCATCAGAGAAGCAACGTACTCTGACACAAATAAAGAAGAAGTAAAAGTCTGGTTTGTAGTTAAAATGGTCCCTGACTCAGCCCTTTCTTCAACTGTCAAAGCTGTGATTACCGGTGGTTTCGGATGTAGCAGGTTCTGAGTCCAGCTCGGCTGCATCCAGGGAGGCGGAGTCCAACTGCTCACTCAGAGAATCAAGTGACTCTCCATCCATTACTGATCCGTTGGCATGAAAGCCGTTCACCTCATCCTTGCCCTCCTCAGGTGAGGCGGCCTCAGGTGGAGCAGGCTCTGCTGAAGCCTCTGGCTGAGGCTTGGGCTTCTTTTTCTTCTTGGGCTGGACATGGAGAGATCAGTGTCAAACCTCTTTGTTCAAATTTTCTTTGTTCATTACCTTTATCCTAATCAGTACAGTGACAAGAACAATGTCAGTGCACACTGGGAAAGAAAAGATTTAAGCATAAGCTATTGGTTGTTGACAATGTTCACATCTTTAAACTTCACTATTTGAATGAGCCGAGACTAAAAACTAGATTAAACATGTTTGATTTTTTTGGAACGTCAAGAGGAGGAAAACACCGACTTTAGATAGCTCGGATTGACTTTTGTGACCACCTCACACCAAACGATCAAGATTTCGGTAGTGTGCACCATTATTTTTGTTATGACACTGAAAGTTTGCAACAGTGAAATCACTTGACAAGTTGTTTGGTGTAAGGCCAGCATAGTTAAAATGAAAGGAGTCTCTGTCTGTCTTTTGATTTTCTCAAACAACGTTCATCCGATCGACTTCACACTTGGCGGGTGTTTTGCAGAGGAAGCGAGGAAGGGCAGCGTCGAGTGTGAGCTCTTGAGATCTACGAGACATATTTATCACTGGTGCATTATGTACACACTGTGTAGTGTATTGAGAGGGGACCCCTTTTAACTTATACACCACCAAATGGCATGCTGGGTACGTAACACTCCGTTGTTAGCTACAGTACATTTAACAACTTATGAAAGAGAAACCAGAGAGACCGGAGATGTTACATTGTAGGAAACTCAAACTGTTCAAGCATCAGCTATGCAACTTTTGGAATGAAAGCTTTTGTTCCCAGAAATAGCCGAGCTTTAAAATATCTGTGAGACCTTTTGCACCAGAATGACGTGTATAGTCTAGCAATGCTGGGGGGACGCAACTACGTCATGGCAGGTGTTTTGTTGAAGACCTAAGAAAGCACAGTGACAAGTGTGAAGTTGTTTGGATGAGCTGTTCTCGTGAGAGTTGCAAGCAGCAACACCTGACGCTGAGCAGTCGGCCTGTTCTAGAGAGCCATGTTTTGTACGTGCAAGGCACGTTTTGTTTACAAAACACCTTGGACATCTGATATTAAGAAATACAGGAATTATTTTTAAATACTTCATAACAAGGGCTGACATGATTATGCTTACTCAACACAGAGACATTCAATATGCAGGCTTTCAGGTTCTTACCTTCTTTTTGCCGGTGACATTCCACTCCTTCAGGATCTCAACTGCACTGCCTGAGGCATAAAGCAAACAATAATGCCGAAGGTACACAGTAACACATGACTCACTTAAAACCTTGTCGTACCCATCTCAATATCTAAATGCCCTAAGGTGTTGTTTAGATGCGGCTTAATAAAGAACAAAGCAGTGTGATGTACGTGGGAAAACCTTCTTGTTCTATAATTAAACCTGCAAAACTAAGAGGCATGCAAATGACGCTTGCGCCTCTGAATGCAAAGCATGGCATGCATGAAAAAAATCTTTTCTCAAGGTCACGCTAAGCACAAGCAAAGTGGACAACTTACAAGGTCTGAGTTAAGTGCAGGAAACAAACAAGGTAGTGTTGGGAATGTGTGTATAATTAAAGGGGCATCTTCAGGGTGTTTGTAGAAGTAGGCAGATAAGGTGCATCACATGATACTAACAAATATTTTATAATATTAAAAAAAAAGCAATACTACTTCCTTCTACGGGAAGCAGTATTTGTAAATCAGGAAGCTTTGAGGGCCAATAATTTCACACTGTTGTGGTCAAACAGTGACGTCTCCATACCTTCTAAGAAAGCTTGAACGGCCTTATCAACACAGTTCTCAAAATGCTGCAAAACCAGTACAATCTCATTGTTACTTTTGTTTGGGACGACGGCCCTGACGGCACTGATCTGCAAAAAACAAACAAAAAAAGAGCACAGAGTGTGAGAGAAACAGGTTTTGGTATCAAATAACAATCAAAGTAATTCAACATGTACTGCAAATTCACAATGGAAGGTGTTTTAAAGGGACAGCTCTCTCCAAAAACAAAAACACATATTTTTTCCTCATACCTGTGGTGCTATATTTCAGTCTAGATTGTTTTGGTGTATCTTTCAAATCAAATCAAATCAACTTTATTTATATGGCACTTTTCATACAACAGTAACACAAAGTGCCTCACAGAGGTTAAAAACAACAAAGATCCAAACAGAAAACTAAAAGAAAAGAGAAAACCCAACCCTCCCACCCAACAAAAAGCTATTTAGCTCATAAAAGTGAGTTAGTAGCTAGGTAAGAATGGTCTAAAACAGAGACATAAAATGCATCAAAACTAAAACCTATAGGCTAACTAAAATAACAAAAGATAAAGGTTAAATGAGATAAGAACGTAAAAAGAGGAAGGGTAAGAATATAAAAAATAAATAAAAAAAATAGATAATAGATGGATAAATCTGTTATAAGAGAAATTTAAAATAGATAAAGAGATCAGTTAAAAGCCTGATTAAAAAGATGAAGATGTATCTTTGTGTAATGCACAGTTCCTTCTGAGCAGTGATACGGTTGGTGGATGTTGTTTGTTAAAAAGAAAATAGTTCGTACATGAAACTGCTCACATCAAGTTCTGTGGATTATGCTGAGTAACCAGGTCGTGAATTCTGGAAAGAGACATTGCTGTTGAGTTTTTTTAAAAATTTATTTTTTGGGCACTTTGAGCACCACAAGCTGAGTGACATCTAGTTCCATTATATTGAAGAGAAGGCAGACATCTCTACAGCTGATAGCGTCACAACTTGGCAACTCGCACCAACAAAATCTAGACTGATAAACAGCACTACAGGGGACCGAGAACCCTTTGAGGAACTCAGTGACTGAATGTGGTTCCCGTATGATTAAAAAAAATAGTACCTACTTCACTGGTGCTACTTTCTAATTGCTCAGGGAAGGATTTGAGGGTGAACTGTCCCTTTAACATATAAATAACATTTGGCTTTAAGGCAAAACCTTGTACTTTTGCTCTTATTAGTATGTTTTTAAATACAGTGTTATTAATGTGTCTGTTTGTAGTCTAAACAAAGCAGCCGCACCAATGCAAATATTGACAATTACAATTATTTATTAATTTTTTTTGCACAAAAGGAACAGAAATATTTGTTTGCAGGTTATCAGCTCTTATTCTTAACTACTACTTAGGTTAAATGTTACTCAAATACCCTTTTCCGACCAAACTTAGCATTCGTATGTGGGTTATTTAAACACGGGAAAACCCAATACAAATAGATGATAGCCTCCTTTCCCATAGTCAGCAGATGAGAGCTGTGTGAACGGCTTTACAGTAGACGAGTGTGCCTTTCTGTATGGACTTTTTTTTAAACTGGTCCTTCAAGTTCATCGTCAAGGAAGGGCCGGAAATCAGGTTTGTAAACAGTAACGCAGCATGGAGCCCAGTGATAATACTACAGTGGTTATTTCTTTTTAACATCTCTTACTTATTCAGTCTCTCTCTCAAAATTGGTGCCAACGAATGTGGAGCAATGTTCGAGCGCTGCCTGGGCGAAACCTGTCACTGCATTGTGCTGGGTAAAGGGCTAATATTAGTGCATCCACAAGGGTGTTGTATTTCCATCCTTGCCGATGGATGCCGATTGGAGCTGGAGCCGATTAATACCCGTGACTACTGCAGAGTCATTCAACTCCTGCGTGAATGCCCACTGTAACCTTTTCCATTAAATAAAAATGCCTGTTGTTAGCAGGCATTAGTGGGTTTTGGAGCAGTGGGAAAGGGGCTAAAATGTTCTTTAAAGCATTGAAACCCCACAAAAAAAATTAAAATTACAAACCCAAACCTTCCATGAAATCATTACGACACCAGTGTGCTGCCCCATTTTCCTCAAGTAGTTCCATTATAGATTAACAGCTTTAAAGAGGACAAGGCTCGTCCAGAGATTATATAATGATACACTTCAAGCAAAGTCATTTTTTCAAGGGATTACAGGTGTTGAACATCTGAATAACTGTTTCAGACACTGATAAATTAGCTCCTATTGAGACAAGACTGCCTCTAAAACACTGCATTTTTCCTTTTGCAATACTATTACTGTTGTTCACGCTCTGACAACTTGCCCTCTCGTGTTTGCTGTTGCCAAAGCTGCTGTGCAGAGCCCACAACTAATGAAACTGAATGTCAAGGCTTAGGAGCGAATCCACCAACACGGAGTGGAAATGTTTAACTTCAGGAGCAGATTAGAAGCCCTTGGTTTAAAAAAAAAAAAAAAAGAAAAAAAGAAGTGATTTAATGTTTCAAATTTAACCCTTTACTAAAAAACCTGCAGGCTCTCTGTGCCGGTAATGTGCAGTGTGTATTACCTTCTCCTTCATCCTCTCAGCTGTTCCTCCCTGGGACATGGCCATTTTTGAGCGAGTATCAAACACCACCCCTGACGTATCTGGAAAAATATAACAAAGAAAAAACCCTCCACTGTCTGTTCGGCCTGGAATTGTATTTGCAAACCACAGTAGAACGTCATTTGCAAGGCAAAACAACCATCAGACGTATTCTCAGAGATTCCCTGGGAAGAGTTGGCAGCTAAGTTTTTAAATACCAATCATTTTACAAAGGCAGATTTGTACTTGTAAGGCCATTTGCTCTGTTTAAAATAAAAACCCATTTTTATCTCCATGAATAAATCAAAGAAACCTATTAACACATTCTCACCTAATCAAATATGCTGGTAAATAAATCAGATTTGTTTACTGAAGGCATCATTTGTATAAAATTCGACCCACAAAGAGAAAATGTCGACGTCAGCATCACTGCACATTGTACTGTGGAGGTGGAAGGACGTTTTATTTAGGCGTTAAAGCACACCCACTTCAGTTACCAGCATAACCAGTGAGCACTTGTGAAAATGAAAAGAAACTCATCACATCTGTGCCTGAGCAGTCTTGAATCTGCATCTGATTTAAATGACTAATAACCACTGAAGGCTTTCAAAAACATTTTTCAAGAGGAACAAACTCAAGGAGGGATTCTGTCATCAGACGCAGAATGAAACCGGCTGAGTAAAGGTAAAAATGTTTTTTGTTTTCAATGGGAGGTCTGATGACATTTCTTTTTAAAACTGATAAAAAAAAAGCCTGCAGCTGAGTATAAAGAGTCAGGATCCAAAGTTAATCTGTGGCCATTTAAAGACAAGACAGGGAAAAAATGCTGGCAAAGCGTTCTTGAGAAAATGCCTTGTAAAAGTTGTTTTCCTCATGCACAAAAGTAGGTTAATGTCACTTTAAATGTCCACAGCCTTTCCCTAATGACTATTCAGAATTACTCAAAGTACTGTGGTCTGTGAAGACATTATAATTCTAACTTATTTTACACACATTTATTTAGTAATGTATCTTCCAACTATGATCTCCCTGCAACTTAACCTTCTTCAATTACATACTGTAGCCATTGAAACACAAATGACATACTGTGTGTTTGATTGTACACTAAATTTATACAATAAAATATGTTTCATTGTGCTAATTTCTTTCAAAGCATTAATAAAGTGCGCACATACCCTTCTGGCTGTTTTTCTTCGCCATGTTGTCACACAGAAGTATTCAGGAAACGTTTGGTCGTGTACTTCCTCAAGACTCAAATAACGCTTCAAATAAGTTTATGGTGTTCAAACACAGGTTCCAAGAGTGGTCACTTTCACTTTGAGTTTTTCTTGTTAAAGAAGATGCCAACCAGGCTCACAAATTGGCAGGAGGGCTGGAAGAAGGAGGTTCAGATCAGGCCTCAGTTCAGGCCTCCACCGTTTAGGCAAAGATTCAGGTTTTCCTCTCGTTTCTCCACCAAGCTGATCCAAATCTGTGGGGGGAGAGGAGAGAGAAAAAGTTTTAAAATGGTTCTGTGCCATGGAGTTGAATGCAGGAAAGTACCAAATCAAAGTTACTGTAGCCATGATGTATGAAGCAGAAATGCAGAGATACCAAATCTCCACTTTTGTAACATCTGAATATGAATGCAAATGAAATCCATTTCCTCTGGCTATGAAATATGAATGAAAAACAGACTTCAGTAAGTTATTGTCTGTCTGGCAGAGCATTCTCGAGAAAAATCTGCACTTAATATTGTCCTTGGCAGAAACACTGCATTTAGTTAAGGGGAGAAAGTTAGTAGGACTAGAGAGAATCACATCTTTGAGGGGTATTTCCTTTTTTCTCAGCTCTCTGCTGGAGTAGTGGGTGATGATGTTGTAAGGGCTACACAGAATATTTACCATGCCTTCACAGTCTGGGTCCTCTGAATGGGCTGATGGTCACTGTAAATCAAAGGATTTGACATGGTGACAAATGTTTTTTAATAGGCATGATCAAGAGGAATGTTTCCTACAGCCAAACTCATAACCGATGGCACAAATAGTTTTTGATGATGGGCCTTTGGAAACTGTTTTGCATTGCAATGTGCTTTTAATTTTCAGCACTCTTTTTGTTACAGTGACTGGAGCTGCAAATTCAAATGAAACTGAGAAAGATGACTGAGAGTCACACTGCTGAGTCTTGAAACAAAAGTCTGCAAATTATTGTACAAGCAGAGAAATACTGAGGTTAAAGATGCATCACAATAAAAGACAAATGTTGCCATTTCTGCACTTAACACAGCAGGAAAAGGGACACGTGGAAGTCTTGGTTTGTCTTGGAATTGATGCCATCACCATGCTGAATAATCATTACTGCCTCAAAATCTCTTGCTGACTGATGCAATATCAGAGTCTGCTTCAATTATGTCCCCTCTAGTCTTAAAAGTGCATCAACCAGACCTCCAGCATTCTGGATTCATTTTATGGGCCAGCTGTTTCCCAACTTTTAGGTTTCCCTTTCTGACTCTGGTTATCCAGAAAGGGAAACTTACAAGCTGTACAAACCCACACCCTGTTGATTAGGACTTGGCATGCCACACAGTCCTGGTTCCACCACACCTCTACAGACGTCAGACGACACATAAGCACAGTCAACAAGTGACACTGCAGTGGCCACTCATGCACAACACTAGGATGCATGATGTTTATCAAGAGGGATGGTGCTTGAGTCTTCGAGAGAGAGAGCGAAAGCCAGGTGCACTTGTGATGTAACTCAGAAGAAGTGCTAACTCAGCACTTAAATAACACTGGTGACTGAAAAGTTTGAATCAAATGAGTTGATAAGATTTAAAAGAAGGTGGACATGTGACACATGCAAGTGGAAACCCAGAGGAACTCCTGTCACGTAACACAGAGTCAATCTCAGGCGAGGCTGCAGTAGCATATTTTTCATCACCACAGCCAAATAATTTCTCCTCCTGACAAACTGGGAGCAACCAGGTGTCTTTGCAGTTAAACATGGAGCAGTTCTCAATCCAGGGTAGAAACCTATGCAATATCCTTAATTAAAACAGGTAACATTAAATAGTAGCAAGCTAATCAGATAAGAGATCCCTGTCTTCACATGCCAGTGGTTTAACCCTCATCTTAAAATTATCATTATCAAAATCTGATTTACTGCCAGGTGAGTTTTCACATACAAGGAATTTGCTTTGGCATTTGGTGCATGGATAAGAAACATCAATAAAAATAAGAAATAAAATAAACATTTTTATAAATACTATTAAAAATACATATACTGTAACTGTATTAGGCAGGTATTAGGCCAGGCAGGAATTTTCAAAATTATATTCTAGGGGATGTGCAAAGATTCACTGTATTAAGAATAAGAAAAATATGCAATTATATATTCTCCTAAAATAAGATAAGGTTGAACTTCGTGTATCCTGGGGGAAACTGGGATGCAGCTGTTGCAAAACAGAGTTAGGTAACTGCAGATAGGAAGTGTCCAATGCATAAGGAGTGAAATGACAGAGCAGAAAAAGCAAATGTATAGCAAAAATAACCTAAAATAAAACTGGATGACAGTAAGGTTCAAAATATAGCAACAAGAACAACAAAAAAAGGTGACACTAAGGTGCAAATAGGTGCAAACCAATGCATACAATGACACAAACAGGTCACCAGTATGACTGATAAATATAGTATGGTTGCTTATTAATTCATATCTAATCAGGTCTGTGCAATCTGGCTTGCTGACTGAGTCAAATTAGCCTCCTGATTTTTTGCAAGATAGCTGAAAAACATATCCAGATGTCCAGAGTTTCCTACAATCTCAGGAAAAATAAATACCTTAGCTCAACGACTAACGTTAACCATCAATAGCTAACTTCGTGTTAATGTTAGCTGCCTAACCCTGTTTAATTCCCTATGAGACGTGGCTGTTTTAAATGTCAGCTAATCCACATTTTGCTAACTCTGTGCTGGTTTCTTCTGACACACAACAGGGTCTCTCCGTTCAGTGTTTCTCATCTAACATATTTGGCTGAAGTCCGGAGGTTACGTTAACGTTAGCTTGCTAACATTACCTAACGCTGTGTGGTTAGCTTTGCGGGGCTCTGCGTTACTGACCGCAATTTATTAGCAATTAACGCCACATTAACAAAACTACACCGGCAATGTCTGAATGCAGCATCAAGTATAGACGCCTTCTTTATGGACGGAGCTTTGAATGCAGCCTTAGCTAGCATGCAGCTAGCAGACTGCTTTTATTATTCAATGCTGTAAAGCTAGCCGCCTCTTAGCTACACAACTTAAACAGCTAAGCTACCATTAAAGCGTTAGTTATTATGTTAGTTATGAGCTCAATGCGTTAGCAGATAAACGTTATTTGATACGTACTTGGTGTTGGCAAGAAAACTGAGCAGTAGATTCTGGAAACGGGTTACCGCAGCTTCCACCGCCAGCCGTCTTTAATGCCAAGTAGTCTGCTGTGGGCAATTTTGATCGACCAGACTCCTTCGGGGTTGCCAGGTTGGAGTCCAAGAACCTCCCTTTTAATACAAGCAGTTCTGCAGACGCAAAGAAAAGGTTTCCAGACGCTACTTAAAGGCTTGGGAACCACGTGGACAATTTATACAGTGGTGGAAAAAGTATTCAGATCTTTTATTCAAGTAAAGCAGTGTAGAAATACTTGGTTACAAGTAAAAGTACTGCATCTTAAATGTCACTCAAGGGAGTGTTGGTTACTTGTGAGAAGGGAGGGGGTGGTGCAAAAAAGGGGGAGGCATGTCAAATCATTAATAAGCACTGGTGAGGGATTGTTTTTTATTTTGGCTCAGGGAAGGGGCATACAACTTTGAATTACTGTATTTTATATTTATTTTACCAAAGGAGGGCCTGTGTTAAGGAGGGGCGGTAGCTAAGTCCGGATAGGGGCTGGGAGTCCCTCATGTCCCTGTCCGCACCTGATATGGAGTGTGGACTGGTAGCTGGAGAGGGGCCAGTTCGCCTCCTTGGCACTGCCGAGGTGCACTTGAGCAAGGCACTGAGCCCGAACTGCTTGGGGCATCCATCCATAGGTAGCCCCCTCGCTCTGACATCTCTCCATTTAATGCATGTATAGGTCCTGTTTGTGCATGTGTGTCTATTTCAGGCCTGTGTGTATATGACAAAAGTGAAGAAACTGAATTTCCCCTCGGAGATTGATAAAGTGTTTCTTCTTCTTCTTTTTTTTCTCTTCTTCTTAACATAAAAAAACCCAAAGTCACAGCCCTACGTTGTATTATTCAATGCACTGATGTGTACATTGCTTTAATATTGCAGCTGGTGAAGGTGAAACTAATTTTAAGTACTCATACTTCTTGGTAGAATTTTGAATTTGCAAAGTGACGAGTAACTAAAGTTATCAAATAATTGTAGTGGAGTAAAAGTACAATACTTCCCTCTGAACTGCAGTGAAGTAGAAGTATTAAGTAGCAGAAAATGAAAATACTCAAGTACAGGTACCTCAAGATTGCACTTATGTAAAGTGCTTGAGTAAATTAAAGGTTCAGTTTAATTTAACATTAAACGTGAGTATATGGAGCACAACAGCAGACTTACATATGACATATAAAAATTGGATTGATTGATTTCATGTACACCTCTTCAGTTCATGACTTTTTCAGCATGGTCAATCAAAAACTTACATCTTACAGAGAGTATTTCCATTAATGTTATTGTTTATATTGTGATTTTGTGGTATTTGTACCTTTATTATCATTAAATACTGTGTTATTTTTATGATTACCCACTTATTTTAGCTATTTATAGCTCTTTCCGCCCTGCATAAATCTACACACTTTTGTCAGACAGTAATTCCCCTCATGATCTCTGTTTCCTGCCTTTATATGTGAGTACCATTAACTGTTAAATACACAAGTACTCTTCTTTCAAACCACTGCTACTGGCTGCATTCAACACTGATGGCCTTAATAGCATTATCTATAGCTGAAGAAGAGATGTATACAGCTCTGCCTCTGTAAAGTAAGAAAATGTGTTTCACTGACTAAAAGTTACATGTGCACATTTAGAGTTATGTTTGATTAATATCTCAACCAGAGTTGCTTTTTAAAACACTTTATTTTAGAGCTTCCCTCTTTTTTAACTATGACCTTTACCACTCCAGCCTCATGCGCATTTCATAAAATAAACTGTCTGTAGAAAATCAAAAAGCCAAAAATGTAGATAGAGATACGAGAATAACTGATCATTTTTGTAAAAGAAGCTTTATGTAAGTGAAAACATCAGATCAGATAGTGCTACAGTTCACCAGCTGTAGAGGACCTTTACAAGGATTCATCAGTTTGTTAATGATGAGATGAGATGTCAGAGATGGGGTGCATACCATAAATGAAAATAAAATGGACATGTAATCACTGAAGATGCTTCAGTGGAGTTGTATCTTTCTGGTTCTATGTTATTGTCCTCTTTGACAAACTGATACAGGGCCAGTAGTCTTCCTTGACAATCTTAATTTTTGAGACACTCTTTGGGTGACACACGCAACTATTTTAGCTGTGTTTATTAATGAGGCCTTGTTTGTCAGATCAGAGTGAGAACTGGGACAGAGAAAATGGGTTCACAGATTTCTGCTTCTGTGTCTCGTGTCCCAGGACAATCATCATCAGTCTTATGCAGTATATTACGTTGCAGAAAATGATGAGGCATTCACAAGTTTGTATCCTCAGTGCAGTAGCCTATATACTGTACAATGTGGTTGCATTTACCTTCTACACATAAACAAAACTTTTATAACTATATCAGACGTTTTTTTTTCTTTCTTTTTTGATCAGACCAACTTTCCTCAGAATTTAGCCTAACAAGGTGGAACTTTAAGACTGTGACAAACTGATTATCTTGAAACATGTGGAAAAAGACATCAGTGAAAATTTATGCCTACCCTATCTTTTGAGTTCGCTCCAGAAAATGGTCTCAGTGGAATTATACATATTTTTTGTTTGTTTGTTTGTTCTGGAAGTCAAGAAACTATAAACTAACAAGGTGGAATAGTGGAATATAACTTCAGGGACACAGTAAAGTAAAATAATCAAACAAACATGACATAAAATCGAGCACATGCACCAAAAAAAGTATTAAAAGTCATTTTAATGTGCAATATTCTGTGTTTATGTGATAAAGAAGATCTTAATATACAATTTGAGATATCTGTTATACATTTTTACACATATTTAAAGAAAATATGAGAAGTAATTAATGGGGACGGAAATGTTGCTCATAATAGAAAATATAGTAGAATAAAACACTTAGTTACATTACAGGGCAATGCTGTCCACTTTTACAAGCTGCTGAAATGAGTCAAATGATTGTTTTACATCAAGTGTTAAAATACCCGTTGACTGTTCAGATCCAAACCTGGCAACCCATGATCCACGTCGTCATTTCCGAAGTTGAAGAAAAGGGTTCGCACGGTTTGTTTCCTCGCACCGCCCGATCTCTCTCTCTCTCTCTCTCTCTCTCTCACACACACACACACACACACACACACACACACACGGTCCATCCATCCATCCATCCATCCATCCATCGATCGATGTCTAGCATTAGCTGTCCTGTGCTTCGTCTTCACCGTAACACCAGTCCGTAGAAGCTGCCATGACAGCTCTCACCTCGAGGGAAACAACAGTTGAAGAAACTGCATTTCGCTGCTGTGTTGGATCCGACTGAGCGAGGGGACGTTTGGTGGAAACCTTAAGTCACCGACCGACCGAGGGGAGCGGAGCAACACGTTACACCAAAATGGCAACCCCCTATGTGACAGATGAATCTGGTAAGGCTGATGCATGTGCCAGACCTTTCTCCAACTGGAACAAAACCCGCTGCATTCAACAGAGCCAACAAAACCAGATTTTTATTTTGTCATCTGCAGTTATAATCGCCAATAATAACATGTTAAAAGACGTCTTTGATTCGGATGTTTTGTTTTGCAGCTAACGTTAGCTAAAACGGCTAACGTTGGTTAGCTTGTAGCTATCGCACTTAATCAACGTTAGTGTGAAAACACCGTGATATACCCAGCTATATTAACACGCTGCTTATAAAAAATCGTTTAGTTCTTGTATAACTTTAGAGCTATAGGATTTTCAAATAGCCACTTTGCCTTTTGCGACACCGACCTGACAGTTGCTACATTAGCTAGCTAGCATTAGCTGCTTTGCTATTTCTGCTGTGATTATCAATGACCACTGTGTTCATGTTGTGATATTTTAATCACAACACCAGTTACTATTAACGCGATATTTTCTGTGTGAAATTGTGTTCCTTTATAACTTTTCGCCTTATTTTTTGTCTCAGAAGAGAAAATGTAATTCACATTAGTTATTAATGTGAGTTATTATGATGGTAAATCAGGGCTAATCATTTACACATTCACTAACTAACGTTACAACAGTAATATAAGTTCAGACTACTTTAACACCCAACTGTGATTTACTGTAGTAATTAGGACCAAAAACAGACAATATTCATGTAGGATTTTTACACTATGATTTATAGACAGATTACTTAATTAATATTGAGGAGAAATTTTACTGTTACAGCAGCCCAGTGTTTTGAAGACAATATTTTAAAAAAGCAAAAACAACAAAACAAAAATCCCCAATACTTATTAACTGTATGTAATACTTAGAAGCAGTCACTTACGGAAAAAGTGGGAAACTATTACACTGTACATATGTGTGTGTGTGTGTGTGTGTGTGTGTGAGAGAGAGGTGGATTAAGTGCAAGTGATGCAAAATTAAATGCAAATTATACTGTCAAGTTGCAGTGCAATGGGATCACATAATTAAATTTAAGAAGGTGAAAGCTGTACGAGTCCAGTGTGATGACATTATATAAATTGTGATATAGTATATTTTCAGGAAAATCAATTGAGTAACAGTTAAAAGATAGCATACTCCAACTTGACAAATCAAGGAACAGCACCCTGTTAATGAATACATGATATAAAAATACAAAAATTTCCAAAAGCAGTCTTGCTCATTGGTTTGTAACTTTGCCTAAAATTGGCTAACAGTGGTTACCAGGGATTTTTTTGTTTGTTTTTGTGTCCACCAGCCTCTGTGGTTGGTGGATTTAAAAAAATCTTCCAGCCACTAAACAGATTACTATTGGTTTTTGGCTGCTGAGTGATGCACGTGTTGCATAACATATCAGTGGTGAGCAGTTTCACCTACGCAAGAAAACAGATCAAAGATTTTACCAAAAAAAAAACCCTGAAGAATGAGCAAAGTTCATGTCACAAAAATATTTAAGTTCTTTCCTTTCCTGTCAGTCATGTCATAATCTCTCAGTTTTATGTTGTGACCCCTCTGAAGAGTTCAGCCCGCAGGTTGAGAACCATTCTGGTCTGATGTACAGAAAGATATGGAAAGAACTTCTGTATGTATGGTGTTACAATAGGCAGTTGGCATGTTCTCACAATATAATTAAAATAATAGGATACCTGCTTTCAGATGTTCTTATTATATCAGTTTATTTCTCAGCTGTAAAACACAATTCTTTGTCCTTGTACCTGAAAGTGCTGTGGGTCTTTAGGCTTTTGATAACTGTAATGAGAGTGTGAGACTGTGTGTTTCCATGAGGGGATGGATGTTACCACACACACACACACACTCTGAACAGCTTGTCAAACTAGTGATGGATGGATGAAGCTTTGGAGCTTTCTTTGTGTTTCTGCCAGAAAAAGATGTAAAGCTTTGGGGCTTTAAATTCAACATGCACAGTGACATCTGGTGGTTTGAAAAACTTACCGCAGCCCGTCGCCTCATTGATTTTATACTTTCAGTCCCTCCAGTGTGCAATAAACGCCCAGGAAGCCCATGTGTTATTTATTAAATCTATAATACTCTTGTTCAGAGGTGCTGCATTAAATGCCCTTAACATTGTGTAATATGCTACAGTAAAATGATTTATAAACATGTTGTCCATAAAGCCTACACATAAAATATTTATTGACATGAATTATTATTATATTTTATTGGTGCAAATGTTCCCAAACCTATCATAAGTTCTTTTAGTGAATTTGACCATGTGATTGACCAGAAACTTTCTGGCTAACATGTTCATAAAGTTATCTCCCAGGTAGCGGTAATGCATCAGTTATTTAGTGCAATGCCAGCTAATATTTAACAACACAGTTTTGTGGTGATTTAGAGTTTTAAAATGTTCCAGATGTCAGTGTGATGATGATGTGTATGTGTTCTGCTTTATATTCATGTGGCAGTTCATTAAATCAGCTTGATGGGCCCGTGGAGCTGCACAGCTTCCACTTCATCCAGTTATTTACATTTACACATTTACATTTGACAAAGACCTTACACATTAATGCAGAGAATGCAGTTTTGACCAACCTCCAAAAGAATCGAGCAAGCACTGAGGTATTTTCTATGTCATGAGAAGAGTCAAAGCCAGCCCACAGCTGATGGGATGAATTAAAGACATTAAAATGTTCAGTTTTATTCATGCAAATAAATCTGCACACTCTAAAATGTTGCACCTGTTGCTCTTCAGGGAAATACATTGCTGCCACTCAGCGACCTGATGGAACATGGAGGAAGCCGAGGCGGGTGAAGGATGGTTACACCCCCCAGGAAGAAGTCCCAGTGTAAGTGCAGCTGGAAAACTTTTGAATATACATTGTTTATGCTATTGTTTAAAATATAGTCATAAAAATCTCAAAACATGTTTAATATTACTCCTAATACGTTTCTTGTATTACAAATTTAAATTCTATTGCTGCACTGTAACGTTAAAATGTCACTATCACGTGATACACATAGACCAGGCCAATATCGCGTCAGTGTCAAGGTTATAATTAATTAGGTATTTTGAAAACTCCGGTTCAGACAAGGTCGCAAAACAATTACTGACATTTCCATTAAGTAGATGTTTGTTAAACAAGAAATAAATACATACAGACTTGTCAAAATGATCATCCAAACACATCAAATCAAATTGACATCTACAGGATCTTTGATTTTCTATCCCCCAAAAAAGAGCGCAGCCTCAACGCTTTGTGAAGTATCTGTATGTGCTGGTCTGGTCTATAGATGTAAGCAGCGTGTTGACGACAGGACTGACTGATGTGTAAGGAAGTCATTTTTATCTTCTCACTTCTGTATTTAATCCTATGTTTCTGTCTCTTGCTCTTTCAGCTATGAAAACAAGTTTGTGAAGTTTTTTAAGAGCAAACCCGACCTGCCCCCTGGGATGAGCCCGTCCGACACTGCTCCGTCAAAGCAGCAGCAGCAGAAGATCCCCGGTTGCGGGGACAGCGAGACAGCTGGTCTCTCAAAGTCTGCCAAACGCAACATGAAACGCAAAGAGAAGAGAAAACAACAGCAGCACCAGGACGGGGACGTGGACTCGGTGAGCGACGCTGTCGAGAACATGTCCATTTCAGAGAGTGGCGAGTCTTCAAACAAGACAGAAGAAGCGCTGGTCTCCGTCTCGTCTCCCAATGATTCCTCAGCAGCAGCAGCAGCAGCTGAAAAGGCCAAGAAGATCAAAAACCTGAAAAAGAAGCTACGGCAAGTTGAGGAATTGCAGCAGAAAGTGGACTCAGGGGAAATAAAGGAGCCGACAAAGGATCAGTTGGAAAAGCTGGGCCGGCTTCAAGCCTTACAAGATGAGATACAGCAGCTGGAGCGTGACTCTTGAAGCAATAAAGGAAAGCAGAAGAGTCGGACAGAATATACATACAAACATACTGAAAGACAGGGAAGGGACCTTTGCAGCTTTGTGATCATAGCTTCCATTAAACATATTCTACCTATTTGATATTCATCCTGAACTCTGGAAGTGAACACAGTCCCAGCGCCTTTCAAGCAGAGAGTGACAGGATGTAACGCAGCAGGCGTCACATCTTCAGACCTGACGGGCCTGTTTTCTAGAATCAGATGTCCAGATAACATTAAGACGCCTGCTCGTACGCTCGTATCGACCAGGCTGTTCATTTATAAATATCTTTTAAAGACGTCATCGTGAATTGTTTTGTGAGTGTCTGTCCTTTCCATTTTGTACCTTTCATAGCATCAGGTATTATTACGGTATTACTTGCACATGAAATATTTTCTGTTTAAGAGAATATAGTTTGTTGACTCGTCTGCTCTGAGAAGTAACACAACATTTTTGTCAGTAATTCGATGGCCTCTTGTAGTAGCACTAATGTTGAGCCATTGTCTAAACAGTCATTACATCGATTAAAACGACATGCTGCGAAAAATGTTCATCTCACAGTGCTTTTTATTAGTAGAGTGAATAAGTACTCTGTGGGTGAAGAACTGGGGAGTTATTTTGGACGGCAGGATGTAAACTCAACCCAGTCACCAGAGAAATGTTGCCATGGTATGTTTTTCTAAACCATGAGTAAGTTACATTTGTATGTTGTTATGTAGAGAATACAATGAAAGTTCACATTTCAGCAGCTCTGGTTAACGTGGTCAGATTTAGGCACCCAAATCACTTGCTTATGGTTAGGGGGGGCGGCGCAATTTCCGGCAGGAAAAGCAGCCTCTCTTGGTAAAAAACAACCACTCTTTGGGCCCAAAAAGCAGCAGTGTCTCACTATTACCCTTTTTCCATTGTCGCTCGTGGCCGCACCGATTTGTGTTTCCATTGTCAGTTTAGATGCGCTGTGCCACGCCAAGCTGCGCCAGAGATGGACTTTCTCAGGAGTAGGTCCAAATGCTGGGCCGCCAGCCCTCAAGCGGGTAGCCGTGACTTCTTGCCAACCACAGTCAACCTCGACGACTCCTCCCCAAACAAGCTTGTGTGTTGTTTAACTCTCCTCACCTCTGTCTGCAGGAGACCAGAGAAAAAGGTGTTTTTAAAAGTAAGAGTTTAGTTTCTCTCCTGCGTCCTGTTTTTACTTTAGATATCTGCTTTATTTTACCGTTTCATGTTTGCTATCCGCCGCATTAGAAGTTGTGTGAAGATGCTGCTCAAAAACTCAACACCTCCTTTTTCATATTGACAAGCAGTTTTGTTGTTTGTTGGTCTGCAGCTTTGCAGACGTTTCACCCACATGACAAGCCATCCATCATCTCCCCCACCTCCTGATGACAAAGTCAGTTTATATACTACATTACTTTAGAAACGTTGATATGATAAGTATGAAACGTGTAACTGTATCACATTCATGCTTTGCAGAAAGCACAATGACAACATCTGGTGACTGGGCTGTAGAAAAGCATCCGTATTTTGGTGCCATTAAATATTTTAGAAACAAGTCGCCCACCTAAAGGATGAGGCTGGTGGTTTTGTATACCCAAAGCAATGATTAATTGATGCTGCTGACCTTGTCTCTGCAGTCATAGGCGGATATATTTTACTCCTCTGTGCCAGAGAGCTAACAAAGTGTTAAAGTAAGCCACACTGTTGTTCCTTTATTATAATCAACATGGCCAGTATAGTTAGTTTGGGTTGATCCCTTTTACACCGTCCTGCTTCTGTAAATAATCATGTGAAAACTAAATGTGTATTAATCCGCAGCTGAAAATAGACCCCAACAAATACACTATTAATGTCTGTCTGAGTAATGTTTGCTAAAAGCTACAGTGCCCCACTATTTTAGGGAATGACGGAGCCTTACAAAACTAAACTAAACATTCACGACGTGTTCTGACAGAGTGATGTTTTTGGTAGAAACAAATAGACAATTAGAAGTATATAGAAGAATAAAGAATGTATCCTTTCAATAACTTTTCCTCTTAAATTTCAGCAAATGTTTTTTCTTCTCAGTGTAATGAAATGAAATAAGGTGACTTTTGCAAACAGCTTCTAGACTAAATGGAATTCTTGCACTGGATTGAGCCTGTGAGGCGCTCCAGCAAGTTAGTTTTGCACTTTTATAAAAGTTGAGTGACTCGCAAAAGACGAGAATGAATTTAATCTGTGAAAAATGGATCAAGTGCCCCTCAAAATACTATACTTACAATAGTGAAGTATACTTTCTTTGCAGTTGATATATAAGAAATCAACATGCTTTACTGCTTTATTTTAACAGGCAATGATAAAATGCACCATTGCACATCAAGTTACTGTGACTTCAGAGCTGCCAATTAAACTTCACAAATTAAAGCAAAATGGTTTTCCAAATATTTTGTTTTTGGAGATTTTTTCTGGAGATGGTTCACCACCATAAACTATTTAAACTTTAAACCAGTAGAGTGTCCCAAAACCCAGGAATGAGTTAGCATTTTCGCACCCCCGGTTCCCTCGTCTCGAAGGCAGTGGGTTTTTGGTTAGATGCCTAAAATAATGTCTGTGGTTAAGAAAAGCTCATGAGACATTCACATTTTGTTCCATGGCTTAAAATATGTCAGTAAATACCCCAATCATGAATTTTGAAGCTTTTATGTGTCTTAAAAAAGGCAGTTGCTAACAAGTGGCTAAATTAGACTACAGAATATCATCACACCGAACACGGCTTTACAGCTGTGCTGTGGGGGCGAGGTTAAATCATGCGACTGTGGTGCAGTTCGGTTATAGCCTAATGTTAGCTTTTTACTTCTGGCAATGGCATTTAGGGCTTCTAAAATCATAAAAGCAGTTTTAATTTGTGAAGATTATCTCACTAAACAAAACTTGTAAGAATCATAAACGTTAGTTTGCCACAGATCTTATTTTCGGCACTAAGCCAAAATCAAAAGGAAAAATCCCAAAGGCTTTTTGATAAGGGGAACCAGGGCAATGCTAACTTCCCTGCAGCACTCTATTCCCTCTCCTTTGTGCATTGCATCATGGGAGAACACAGTAGAGCATTTTAGTGCAGTCTGGGATTGGGACATAATTTAATATTTTGCTCTGCTCCAGATGGGTCAATGGAATCAATCAGTGAATCAGTAATTGCCAGTGTTGCAAAGACACAGAGCTGGTTGAAAATCTGCCTTTAAGTTTAAGTTAAGTTTAAGGTGGCAAAGGCAGAATCCAGGGCAGGAAACTGTATGTCTGCAAAGAAAAGATGCTCTTGATGATGAGCTATCAGGAACTGTCCAGTGTTTCTTGGCGTTAAAATTGAACCTGTGCTTAAATTTAGTACATATAATTGCTTTAAGCACGTCTGAGTCTCGCTCCCATCTGTCCACTCATTTTTTATGAGCTGCATCTCACAGTGTTTAAGGAGGCGTTCTCTGTCTCCATTCAGAGGACGATTTGTAGCGATGGTTACACGGGGGCGTCATTGTTTTTCCTTGAATGGGCTCCTACATTGTGAACAATATAATTAGCTGTTGTCTGGTGGAGGAAGTGTGGTTAGTTGTTTTCCTCATAGAGCTGTAACCATGAGGTGAAAGAATTTATGTGAAATATTGTTTCACAAACATAAAGCAGTATTTCTGGTACGTCTGTCACACTAATTCATGTCGTCTGGGAAATTATTCACCTGCAAAGTGTTGCAGCTGGATTAAATATCAAGAAAGTTTCACCACAGTGACATAAGTGGTTATAAGTCATCACCTTTAACAGGCAGTGGGCAGATAATCTCGTTTTTTGGAGTTAACACTGAATTAATTTGCTTCCTTTGACGTAAACAAAATTACTCAGAAGTTATTCTTAAACGCTTCAAGACAAATGGCTCTAAATGATGGTGTAAGAAGGCGTGAACAGGCTGTTAGTGTCGGAAATATGTATTGGTTGGTTTTGGTCATCCACGCATCACATTCTTGTAAAAGGTTTATTATGTGGCTTTGAGGCCGTCCTGAACAGACACTTGATGGTATAAAAACTGGATCCCCAAACTAAGACAACAGCCTCAGCCCTGACTCAGAGGGGACTAATACTCTGAGGATGGATGTAGATGGAGGAACGGCAGTCTCCAGAGATGCTTAAAACAATCCAGAACTTGTTTATTATTAGTTGAGAAGTTTTTATTTCCCCATAGTGATGGAAGAAGACCCAAACTGGAAAATGGAATATAAACTGGAGTTAATGGTGCTTCTTGTGCTGCTGATCACAGCTTCATCTGTCGGCCTGAGGAGAGAAGAATTTACTGAAGCAGTGGTAAGAAACTTAAGGAAGATGAGATGTTGAAACATAAATTCGTCCTACAAAACTGTAAAAACAAAACCTGTGATCAGTTTTCAAGTATTTCTTGGAGGTAAATGTCCTGATTTAAGTCTTTATCCATCTTTTTTTTTACAGTTTGAAGCTGCCTAATAACACTGATTGCGATTATGTATAGGATACATCATGATAAAACCAACGATGGTGCAGTCTAAGCTGTCCATACTGCAGGAAGTTAATTATTTATTTTGGTTGGGGGGGATGATTTTGGCTATAATAATGTATCATGGCTGTTGTTGAAAGAACTGTAGAAGAGATAATTTGTGGTGCAGCCGGTAATGCCAACAATTCACTTTGATGATATCAGTGCTGCCTAGCGTTTCATCCAGGGCACCAAAAACAACCCTGTGACAGGACTTGTTGCATCTTGCAAAAGAAACTCAAAGACATTGTTGAGACTTTAGTGTTTTTGAAAGGGTGTCAGTAAAATGGCTCTCTACAATCATACAGCCTACAGTTATTTTGTAGATTAAGATTTTGCAAACAAAACAAATGATGACAAAACTAAGTTCTGCTGTAGATTTAACTACCCTGTAAGTCGTTACAATCAACACCTCAATCTGTTATGACATTAAAGCAGTGGTTCTCAAACTGTGGGGTGGACCACCTTTGGGGGGGCACAGAGCCACTGCAGGTGGGGCGTGGATGACCAGGGGATAAAACACAGAGTGAAACAAAGTTGAATGAATATCATTTATGTAGGTAAAATAAACAAACAAGAGTTTACTAATGCAATCATGCTGACCTTTATTTGACTAAAATTCAACATAGATTCTTTTTTATTAGTTGCTTCCCCAATTATTGGTAAGGATCGATAAAAAAAAATGGGGTTGTGTGTGGGGGCATGAACTTTTTTTGGCTTACAAAGAAGGGCATGATAGGAAAAGTCTGCAAAGTAGCCTACCTACATGTAAATGCATCAATATCTAGATGAGCATTCAGAGAGCACAGACCTAGGGCCAAGTGCCCTATCTCACACTGTCAACAAAAGTGAGGAATAATTTGTGTATCCACCCTGTGATTCATATCCCCTGCAAAATGTATGGGCTCCTCCTTGGCCCACACTACACCCCTCCACTGAGTTTTATGAATATCAGGCCACTGTAGTTTTTCTGTAATCCTGCTGACAAACCAACAAACAAACCAAACTGAAAACATGAGTGATCATGATAAATAATATAACAATGTCATAGGAACTATTCTGCTGAATGAGTACTTTTACTTTTATAATCTTTATGATTTTAATGATAATCATTACTCATAAAGCACTTTTAAAACCAGAGTTACAAAGTGCTTTACATGTCAATAATTAAAAGAGACAAGACATGAAAACACCAAGTTTTCAAAGAACTGATAAAAAACAGGAGTATATAAAACCTAAGGAAATAAAACACAGTTTAACTGAACTTAAAACTCAGGTAAAATCAAGAAAGGCTCTCCAATAAAAGTACGTTTTAAGAAGGGACTTCAAAGGGATCACTGACTTGGCTGACCTGATTTCCTCGGGCAGACTGTTCCAGTGACTCGGGGCCCTGACAGCAAACGCTCAGTCCCCTTTAGTTTTCAGCTGAGCCTCTGGAACAGACAAAAGTCCTCTGCCCCATTTAGGAACATTTCATTGTTAAAACGTCATAGCACTTTTATCTATAAGTAAAATTTTGATTGCCATACTTGGAGTATTTTTACAGTGTGGCATTGAAGAAATACTTCTTCCATCACTTTACAATCAGTGCTCTCTATTCAGGCATATTTAAGGAAGTACGGCTATCTGCACATCCCACTGGACAGTAAAGGCCAAAACCATCCAGCTGAGGAGATAGTGGAAGCACTTAGGTGACCATTTTTCATTGTCTTTACCACTTTGTGAACTCAAGCTTAACATATTTCCCTCTGTTTTCACCTATACCCCAGATTTATATGTTTATTTCTCTCCTTTGTTTGTCAGAATCTTTCAGAAAACAACGAACCTTCAAATATCAGGAAAACTAGATTCAGCCACTCTGGCGATGATGAACAGACCTCGGTGTGGACTGGAAGACTCTTTCAATAACAAATCTCTCAAATATAGAGTCATGGGTGGGAAACAGAACTCTTGATATACACTCAGATCCTGATTTTTACTACAATATTGCTTGGTAAGTCTTGTGAATATTTCCTGATTGAACAGGCCACTGGCGTAAGAAGATGCTGACCTACAGGATCTACAATTACACCCCTGACTTGGGTCAGAGTAAGACCCGTTTGGCCATCCAGAGTGCTTTTAAGTACTGGAGCGATGTGTCACCTTTAAAGTTCAAGGAGCTGCAGCGAGGAAGAGCAGACATCAGGATCTCCTTTCACAGAAAAGACAAGTCGTGTCCAGTTCCCTTTGATGGACGAGGTGGGAACAACTTTCTTGAAATGTTTGCCATTCCTTTAAAAGTTTTGTGATCTATGGAGTCCCATTACAATGATGGAGTATAATGATCATAATGAGTGACTTCCTAGAATGGCAAATTAATGACTTAGTATCTCAAAATAATAAAAAACTTCCTCGAAATAATGATTCAGTATCTCAAATTAAGGAGTTGGTGTCTCAAAATAATGAGAAACTTTTAAAATAATGATTCTTAAAATTAGATAATACTCAAGATAATGTGTTATTTACTTAAATTAATGGCTTTCCTATCTTTAATAAGGGACTTACTATCTTTAAATAATGATTTGTATCTCAAAACTTTTGATGGAAGCTGGCAGACACTTGAAACGATGATTTGAAGAATTCTTGCTTTATCTTTAAGGTCATGTTTTGGCCCACGCTGATGCCCCTGAGTCAGGCATTGTGCATTTTGACGAAGATGAAGTGTGGACAGAAGGAAAGAACTCCGGCTCCAACCTGAGGATCGTTGCAGCCCACGAGATAGGCCACGCTCTCGGCCTGGGACACTCACAACACTACAGCGCACTGATGGGACCTGTTTACAACGGATACCGCTCAGACTTCAAGCTACATCCGGATGACATACGAGGGATCCAGGCTTTATATGGTAACATCAGAGTAGAGCCACATGTCAGTGTGTGTGTGGTCTTTGAAGTACAGTTTATACAAGTGCAGTGTTGTTTCTTTTAGGAAAGCCGGGGAAGACTCCTCCGCCCAGAAAGCCAAGTCACATTGTACCAGGAGGTATTCCAAATCCTTGCAAGGCCACTCTGGATGCAGTGATGCTGGGTATAGAGACTCTGGTGCCTTTAGGACAGAAATAAAACATGTCTCTGTATCAGTAATGCATTAACTTACAGCTCTGTTTTCTCCTGCATTGTGTCCCTGCAGGTCCTCTGCGGAAGACATATGTCTTCAGTGGTCAGTACGTGTGGACGATGTCCAGCTCTGGCTACAACACTCCCGTCCTGATCTCTGCACTGTGGAAGGAGCTGCCAGGGAGCCTCAATGCAGCTGTTCACTCTCAGCGGACCAGCAAATCTTATTTTCTGAAAGGTGGATTCATTTCATAATTTCAAAAATGTCTCACCAGATTGTGATGTACGAAGCTGACAGGATTTTAGCTGGCAGTTTAAAATGCAATGCACTCCTCTTTTTCATTCAAAGATGACAAAGTATGGAGATACTCAAGCTTCAAACTTGACCACGGATTCCCTAAACGCCTGGCCAACATCCCTGCTAATATTGATTCAGCCTTCTACTTCAATAAGAACAAAAAAATTATCTTTTTCAAAGTAAGTGCAGACACAATATTTCCCTCAATTTATCATGAGACATTTATTAAATATCTGTTTCATTTACTGGTGATTTCAGGGCTCTGGATACTGGCAGTGGGATGAAATTGGCTTGACAGACTTCAGCTCATATCCCAAACCTATTGGACAGCTCTTCCATGGGGCTCCCAGTAACACTGATGCTGCGTTCACATGGACAAACGGCCACATATACTTGTTTAAAGGCACTCAGTACTGGCGTGTAAACCAGCACCACCGAGCAGTGGAGAAGGCCTACCCTCTGAGCATCGCCGCACGCTGGATGCAGTGTGACGACTGAGCCACAAGAGGCCCCGGGGATTCAACACAAATGTTACCCTGTAGAATGATTCAGTATAAAAACAGAGAGATGCTTATTTATTTGAAGGAATTAGAGTATTATTATTTTTTGGAGACACAGGCTGCATGAAATCAACACAAAGAATATGTATTTTTTTGTTTATATTATTATTTAAAAAGTAGTTATTCACATACATGCAATAGAATTGTCTTAGAAGACAAACTAAGACTTTGTTCTGTGTGATTCAGTAAGATTAAATGTTGTTATCCACTGACAAGGTGTTTACAATGGCTTTTTCACATCAGACATTTTGACTGTCGTTGTAGGAAAAGCACAGTTGTTGTTAATAATGTTAATGATTGCTTTATTATTATTTACGCCTGTGCTTTCCCCCAGTCATGTCTTGCATGCGAAAAGCCTGTTGCAAGGACTATTGAATAACAGTAAGCACCCGCACACCTGCGATTCACCTCAACCAGAACCATATTTAAATCGACATCTGCCTCATTCTCATGTTAGTTTTGTTGCAGCTGTGTGAAACAACTCACATCTTTGAATTCTTATCAGAACATCCTCTTAAAGCTTCACAGCTATAAAGTCCTTAATAAACGTCGGTTCTTAATATTTCTGTTTTAACATTTCTTTTGCAGAGAACAACCAGAGTTGAAAATTAAATGTGTAGGCTGTCTATTGTTTTCAAATAAACTAATCAAATGAAACTAAAATGAATACTTGTGTCACCTCTGAACAACTTCAACCTCAGCCAGAGCAAAACAAATGAAACTGAGAACACTCGTGTGGGTGTGCAGGGACTTGTGGCTAAAAGAGATTTTTTTTCCAAGATGAAATAACACCTGCTTCCTCTCAGTACACTCAGTGGTTCTGCTGCTGTATTATGACAGCTAATGTTAGTCAGTGTTAGCAAACTTGGATTTTGTTTGTGGAGTAACTGCCATCACTGACTGTTCAAGGAGCGGTATTTAGGACAGCTGTGGCTCAGGAGGTAGAGCGGGTCGTCCTCTAATTGGCAGTTAGATCCCAGGTTTCTCCTCTGTCTGCATGTCGAGGGATATCTTTGGACAAGATACTGAACCCAAATTGCTCCTGATTGGTGTGTGAGTGCATTTATACTGATTTGCACCTTGGCCACTGGTGTGTGAATGGGGGTGAAAAGGTGAATGTGACTCCGTTGTGTAAAAGTGCTTTCAGTGGTCAGAAGACTAGAAAGGTGCTGTACAATTCAAGTCCATATTTAGGATTAAGTGGCATCTAGCAGTGAAGTTGCAGATTGCAATCAGCTGAAAACCCCTCTGCTCACTCCTCCCTTTCCATACGGAGTTGAACCTATGGTGGCCTTCAGGTAACATAAAAACCTGAAAGCATGGACATATAAAGAGAACTTGATACAGCTTTAGAAGCAAGGCTCTGTCAGTCTTATGAAAGTTGCTGAGTGGCACATTAAGCTAAAAAAGTTTGACTTCCTGGGTATAAAATTACGCAGATCTTCCACATTGTTGGGCCCATAGAGCAAGCGTACCAGAGATTTCAGCTGGCCAAGCAGCTAACTTCCCTTAAATAGGGATAAAATGATTTAATTGTGCAGCTATTCTAGACTTTTGAAATGTTATCAGACTGAAGTGATCAAATCCCAGTAGTGAAATGAGCCATTTCATGGGGATTGTGATGCTCGAAGAAATTCATTCAGTGATTGACAGACGTCTCTTTTACGATGTAAGACGTTGTAAGTGGCTGCAATGTCAAATTGGCTTCAAAGCCCAGCGCTGTTACTTGGGGCTTGCATGCAAGGTTCTGTCTTGTGTTTGGTATGTCCAATCTGGGCTACTGTAGAAACATGGCGGTGCAACATGGCGGGCTCCATGGAGGAGGACCTGTTCCCTATGTAGATACGAGATACTCTTTATAAACTAACACAAGTATTAGTAGTTTTGGGTAATTATACACTAATGAAAACATAATCATAAGTATTTTATTCCATTTTCTGCCAACAGATCCCCAGAAATCTACAGATTGCTCCTTTAATTATTGCTTTTGGTGTAACACAGTCTTGCTATCAAGCTGTCTTATTCCTGTTAAATCAATGATTTATTTGTTTATTGTCAAACAATTCCTATTTGTTTTAATGTATATCCTTATTTTAATTGCAATATTTTGATATGACTTAATTTTTTATAACAGTAACACTTGAACTTCAAAAGAATTGCAACCCAATCTAATGTAGACATGTGGTACATTGTAATTGGAGAACAAAAGATTATTATGTCATCTTGTGAAAGAAAACAGCTTGACACAACACAAAGCGTCTGTGAGATAAACTGCTGATGATCATGAGTCTGATGACTCTGCATGTTGTGTTGCTGTAATTCGGGGGATGATCTCCGAGCATCTCAAATCACACCGTGTGCATGTTGATGATTATCTGGTGAAGCTGGTTGAAATGTCTCCATGTAAGTGAACATCTCAGAGGAATGTTCAGTTATCAGTGTATGATAATACAGATATTTGCTCCTTCAGACCGTGAAAACAGGCGAGGCAGCAGTCAGAGGCACCATGGAGCCCGTCTCAAAGTCAAAGTCTATCAGAGTGTGTGTAATGGTGCTGATGCTGCTGGCGGAGGAGCCTGTTCCCATCTGGCGCTCCTGAAGGCTCTGGAGGTAACTCTGAAACAGGAGGAGGAGACACTGTTATTGCACCGACCGTCCACTGTCATTTTATGTGATGAGGCTATTTGTCAGGCTATCAGAGGGAACCGAGAACACTGATTGTCATGGCTGCACTCCTCTCTGAATGATTCATTTGAATCTCAGCCACTGACCGGTGCCAGGACGTCCCCAGCATAGCGTTTCAGTGTTGGAGGCCTGCGCCGACGGGGTGGTGGAGGTCTTCTTCTTGACTCTCTGTATCTGTGCTTCTTAGCATGTTTGTTGTGTTTTTTGTGCGCAGCTGGGAAGCATTGAAAGGGGAGAAAAAATAAAGTTAATGGTGGTTTTGAGCTCAAATTTAAAGTGACAGTTAATTCCTCTTACTTGTAATGTTGTCTATCAATCTAGATTGTTTTGGTGTGAGTTACAGTGTGTTAGAGATATTGGCTGTAGAGATGTCTGCCTTCTCTTCAGTATAATGGAACTAGACGTCACTCAGCTTGTGGTGCCCAAAGCACCAAAAAATACATTTGTAAAACTCAACAGCAATGTCTCTTTCCAGAAATCATGTTTGTCAGCTGTTGCTGCTGGTCATTTGACCATTTTTTGGGGCTTATTGCCTCTATTTGATGGGACAGCTATAGTGTGAGGGGAGAATGAGGGCCGTGGGTTGGAATTGGACCCTGGTCACTGTGACACGGACACAGCCTTTGTACATGGTGTGCCTGCGTTACCAGGTGAGCCAGTAGGTGCCCCTCATGTGACCATTTTTCACCTAATTGAAGGTGTCTGATCGTAATAATTTAGAAATAATGTGTAAAATGTTTCTCTGCAAAACCTTTAATGAGATTTTCTGTAAATGTATTGTTAGTGCACTTTATTTGCATTATGATATTTTACTCTAATCTAATGATTTCAGGCTGAACTTGCCCTTTAACATAAAATTGAATGCATCCGTTAGTGCAGATTGAATTAAACTCACCTTCTGTGTGTGATACTCCTTTGGCAGTAAACCTCCATTGCACCAACACACCTATCAGACCCAGAACAGGCCATATCCCAGTGATTGCCCAGTTAAACCAGCAGAGTGGACGTGGGACGCCTTGACAAAACATATCATACACCTGCTCCGGCAGCCTAAACGTCCCCACCAGGTAATCCACACACAGCATCACAGTGGTGGCTCCAAACACAGATGTGTAGACAATGGTGAACAGTTTCTGCCACTGAAGTGTGAAGAGCCCAGTGACGATGCTGGCGGCCAGTACGACACAGAGAGGCAGCCACACTGGAGTGAGGCTGTGAAACTGTCCAATGACCAGCAGGATGGCGAGGGAGAGCAGGCTCCCCAGCTGCAGGCCGCTGAGCAGGAGTCCTATTGTGGACACCAGCATGGTCATCAGCCCGCAGAGCACCCCCACGCCCAAGCCAATCCCTGCCTTTGTCTCTGACCCCAGCTGGGCATCCAACAGGGGCTCTTTGTGGTACAGCAGGAGAACGGCTGCTGAGCCAAACATGAAGCCAGAGAAGAACATGACCATCTTGAAGCAGCGGTATCCTGAAAAGAGCAATGAAAATTAAGTTTAGATGGGACTGTAAAACATATGGTACCATATAGTCATCCATATGTACAAAGGTCCATGGTGTGTTACAGTAGTAATGTGTGAGCATGGGCAGATTATGAGACAGTGGGCCCCTCAACAGACATGAAGAAAGCCCCACACACCTCTTCGACAAAGGAGGAAAACACATCGACTTTGTTTAGCCTCTTTTTGTTGTTGTCTTGCATCTCTTTGTAGCCATTACGCATCTCTCTGTAGTTTTGAGTCCCTTTGTGGTCATTTCAACACTATATGTGGTCATTTTGAGTCTTTCTGTAGTCATTTAGAATTATTTGTAGTTGCCTTGTATCTCGTTGTAATCATTTTGTGCCTTTTTGTGGTTGTTTTGCCCCTTTTCATAGTCATCGCGAGTCTCTTTGTGTCTCTTTGCAGCTGGTTTGCATCTCTTAGTAGTCTTTTTGTGTCACTGTTCAGTTGTTTCATCTTTTTTTAGGTCATTTTGACTTTTTCGTGGTTGGTACGTATTAATTTGAGTGACATTTTGCATGTCAGGGGGGCCCCTGTCCCTCAAACTCTTACATTGACTGGATTTGTGGAAATGCATCAAGTTAATTACTGTATTAACCAAGCTCTGTGAGAAAAGTAATCACTGTGGTGCTTGTTTCAAAGGTCTGACTCAGGCTGCACAAATCACTCACTGATATCACTTCATACTCAGCTGTCAGCTCAAGTTGAGAAGCCCTGAAACCGGTCAAGTGCTTCTGAGCGAGTCCCCAGGAACAGCACCAAGGTCTGAGGCCAATTAGACATATTGGTCAAACTGTGTAATTACAACTTCCTGGTGCAACAGGGGTCCAAAAACATTTTTCTCACACACAGTAACAGGAAATGGAGCAGCTGAAACATGG